AGCCTTGTTCTATGGCTTGTTGACTATAATCCTACACTATCAGCGCGCGCCCAAAGTTGCCCGTTCACAAGTTATGAGGTTCTGAAAAATTAAAAAAAAGTAAGTAAAAGTGACTTTTTTTTTGGAATATCTTTAAAGATTTAACGAAAATATAAAGATTCTATATGTTAGTAATGTAAATTAACCTTAAATTACTGATAAAAACACATTTTAATAAAATTAAAAGTAATAAAATCAGATTTTTTTTCACAATTTTTGTTTATAAAAAATACCTATCGATAGGGTATGTTATTCTGATAAATAAATTTCATTGAACGTTTTTCTCTAAAACCAATAGTTTAGCTGGAAAAAAATATTTTCCATTTTTGTTGTATGGAATCAAACATAAAGTGGTCGATTTCGACTAAGCCTTGACAGATTTTGCTGTGAAACTACTTGAGCCTTGTTTTATGGCTTGTTGACTATAATCCTACACTAACAGCGCGCGCCCAAAGTTGCCCGTTCAGAAGTTATGAGGTTCCGAAAAATGAAAATTAAAGTAAGTAAAATTGACTTTTCTTTAGATAAGACGACAAGAGAAAGGTTAATTACGTTACTAAAGTATATAATTTGCATGTTTTAGTTGAATCTTTAAAGATAATATACCCAATTATACCCAAAAAAAGATACTTTTACTTACTTTTTTTTTAATTTTCGGAACCTCATAACTTCTGGATGGGCAACATTGGGCGCGTGCTGTTAGTGTAGGATTATAGTCAACAAGCCATAAAACAAGGCTCAAGTAGTTTCAAAGCAAAATCTGTCAAGGCTTAGTCAAAATCGACCACTTTATGTTTCATTCCATACAACAAAAATGGAAAATATTTTTTTCCAGCCAAACTATTGGTTTTAGAGAAAAACGTTTCATGATATTTATTCATCAGAATAACATACCCTATCGATAGGTATTTTTTTTAAACAGAAATTGTGAAAAAACAATCGCTTGTTTTATTACTATTAATTTTATTATAATGTGTTTTTATCAGTAATTTAAGGTTAATTTACATTACTAACGTATAGAATCTTTATATTTTCGTTAAATCTTTAAAGATATTCCAAAAAAAAGTCACTTTTACTTACTTTTTTTTAATTTTTCAGAACCTCATAACTTGTGAACGGGCAACTTTGGGCGCGCGCTGATAGTGTAGGATTATAGTCAACAAGCCATAGAACAAGGCTCAAGTAGTTTCAAAGCAAGATCTGTCAAGGCTTAGTCATAGAAATCGACCACTTTATGTTTCATTCCATACAACGAAAATGGAAAATTTTTTTTTCCAGCCAAACTATTGGTTTTAGAGAAAAACTTGTGCAGCATTTATTCATCAGAATAACGTAACCTATCGATAGGTAATTTTTTCAAATAGAAATTGTGAAAAAAATCGCTATGTCCATAAATCTCAATTTCGATCCATAGTGCGTCGTAGCTAAGCCCCTAAGCACCATTGTAAGAGGCTATTTTGTAGATTGGTAAGGGGGCGTCCATAAATTACGTGAGACTTTTAGGGGGGGGAGGGGGTCTACAAAAACCTCACTAAATCTCACGTGGGGGAGAGGGTCACAGGAAATATCACGTAATTTTTTCCGCAAGAAATAGAGAAATAGAGTTTGCCAGAAAACTGGGTTTAAATCTTAAGTAAAAAAATTGGCCAAGTGCGTGTCGTGCCACTTGCAGTGTAGGGTTCCGTAGTTGTCCGTCGTTAATAAAATATATTTCAGAAGCAAGCAATTACTTCATCTAAAGTCGCTTTTAATATTTTCTTCTAAGGATTTTTTATTAGATATAAATAATAATAATAATAAAATAAATGTTTATTTTCTCTTCACAAAGGTAACAAAGAATAATGGGTACTACAATATTGTGAATGTTACAATAACAGAACCTTTGCGAGAGACTGGTGTCTAAACTAGGGTAATCCCTGTGTGATAGATCACCAGGCCCTCAACTTGCTCCTTGAACTTAACAATCTGACCAGATAAACACGCGCAAAGTGCGAAGAGAGATCACAAGTACTTGCACATCACTATACATAAAAACACGTGATACTGTTAGTAATATTAAGTGCGTTATGTGAGTGTGTGAGTTTTGTGTGTCAGGCATGTGTAGTATGAATGAGCCCTCATAGCAAAACCTTCAACAAATCCTCAGCCTCACCATAGTCCAAATTCAACAGCCACTCAAGTATCAGTTTTTTGCATGCATACTTTGGTAATGAGTAGAAAGATAATATTTTGTTCAATTTATTATATAAATATGGGCCAAGGAAACAAAAAAATCTATGCGATAACTGTGTACGTAATTCCCTGCTGGGGCAAACCTTGTATTCCCTTCTAGTGCCTTTAAGATAATTATTGTATTGTAGGCAAGAATGTTGAAGCAGAACAGTATGCAGTATAAAAAGTTTTCGAACCGAAAGTACATTACAGCGTGAGTAAAGATCCTTCGTTGGAAAGAGAAACGGCAAAGAGTTGCTCACTTTCAAAATTGCACGCTGAGCCCTCTCCAAATGCAACATTGATGATTTAGGTGCACCGCCCCATGAGGTTATACAATATGTCAACAAGGATTGACATAATGCATAATAAACCATCTTAATTACATCTGTGTTGGCGACTCGGCGGAGATTCCTAAAAATATACATTAGTTTCCTTATTCGGGTTGTTAATAGAGTAATGTGGGGATTGACAGCCATAGGACGTCCACTGCTGAACATAGGCCTCCCCCAATGTAACAACATACCCGGTTGGTAGCGGCCTGCGTTCAGCGCTTTCCTGCTACCTTTATGATGTCGTCGGTCCACCCTGTGGGTGGACGTCCCACGCTGCGTTTTCCGGTAGGCGGCCTCCACTCCAGTACCTTGCTGCCCCATTGCATTGACCGTCTTGCTGCTTCATGTGTTATAAACGGTATCCTTCCGTTTGGCCAAATTACTTTTCGCCAAATTTCACTTCGCAAACAACTTATCGCCAAAGTTTCATTTCCCAAATGAACTTTTAGCAACTGTACTTTTCGCAACTAATTCATTTGGTCAAATTATCATTTGGCCAAATTTTACTTGGCAAATGTTTATATAGCAAATGTTTTATGTTGCCAAATATTATATCCCAAATAATTTGTTTGGTCAAATTGACACTTCACATACTTACCCACCGTTACCCACAAATCAAAGCATAAGGCACATGATCATGGTTTTCACAATAATTTTATGTAAAACATTGCAGAAAATAGTATGGTTGCAAAAAGTAGGTATTGCAGAAAATAGTAGGTTAGGTTAGGTTAGAACAGTGACCCTTAATGCGCGAAGGCGAGCGAAGCGTGCCGCGGCAGCGGCCGCCGAGCGCTAGAATCACCTCTATTGTTAATGAATCATTTGGAAATTTCAATACAAAGAATGAAATAAGGAAATTAATGTAGAACAAATTTTATATTAACTCCCCACTAATCAAAATAATAACCATAAGCTAATTTGTATACCATTCTATGCACCAATCAAATTATTTTGTAAATAGTTTATCGTGAAATATTTTTGCCTAATGAAACATTTGGCAAACCATACTTTGCCAAACAATAATTTGCTAAACAATAATATGCCAAAAAAAACATTTGCGAATTAAAAGTTTGCAATAAGTTGCTTTGCCAAATGAGAATTTGCCAAATGAAAATTTGCGAAACGTTGTTTGCGATGTGATAATTTGGGAAACGTTTTTTGGCCAAACATTAGTAATCCGTTATAGCCAGTAAATTTAAGTTTTTTGTTATGATTTATTTAAATACTCTGTTGAAGCTTTTAAATAATAGATAGGTAACAATACTAGATGACTGAATACTATCTAATTTAAACAAGTTGTAGGTACCTACCTACTCTAGGAATATTTTTTAAATATAAATTCGTGCAACACGCAGTCATTAAAAGCATAATTTGTGGCATAATAAACAAATAATTATTCTATAAAATAGGTAATAAAAACATGGCCTTATATTAGTATTTCACGATTTACCTATGTCAAATACAGTTAAACGACTTTTCCATGGAACAATGGCAAATTAAAATAATAGTTATTACTACAGGACCCTTTTGAAAGAAAGAAAGAAAAAACATTTATTTGGTACCAAAAAATAAAACAATTTGGCTTAATTTCTATCTCATGTAACACCTAATGTACCTACCTACTATTCTATTATGGAAGCAACAAACGTTACATTTTGCGTTTATCGCTTGATAGAATAATTATTGTTCAAAGTTTATTAACCTACTAGCGGCCGCCCGCGACTTCGTACGCGTGGATCTCGTTTTACCCCCCCTTCATCAATCTTACGCGGTTCAGATTTTTTCATACAATTTTTTTCCCGCTAACTCCCGTTCCCGTGGGAATTTTGCAATATCCTGTTGTAACTAAGCTTTAAGTTTACTAAGATACCTGCATGCCAAATTTCAAGAGTCTATCTTACGCGGTTTAGATTTTTACATACAAATGTTTTTTCCCGCTAACTCCCGTTCCCGTGGGAATTTTGCAATATCCTGTTGTAACTAAGCTTTAAGTTTACTAAGGTACCTGCATGCCAAATTTCAAGAGTCTAACAGACAGACAGACAGACAGACAGACAGACAGACAGACAGACAAAAATTTTACTGATTGCATTTTTGGCATCAGTATCGACCACTAATCACCCCCTGATAGTTATTTTGAAAATATATTTCATGTACAGAATTGACCTCTCTACAGATTTATTATAAGTATATAGATATAGATTAGCCGCCAACGAATATGAAAAGCGTTGTATTGTATCATAATTTGTATGCCAGGCTAGGCGCCAAGCTATGACGCTATAAACACTGGCGCTGAAAAGGTATTTTTTGCTTCTGACTGTACATGAAAACCTTCCACAAAGGTAATGAACAGTTAATGCTAATTATTATTACAGACCAGAAACAGACAGTCCGTGGTATGAAATAAACGGATATTGTTACGCTTAACGTGTTTATTATTATGAAAACAAATGAAATGTTAAGAACTATCAAGTTTTCATGAAACTGAGGTTATTTGTGTGAAAATGGTCAGAACAGTTGTGCCTAAAGTATCTTCGATTTTACTAAAACAAGTAAGTTCTTAATTAGTTCCAAATTTTAATTCTATTAATTGATATCTAATAGTCATAGTCATAGTCATTTATTCCATAAACAATAACATTATCGTATTGGAAATATTACAAAAAACATGAAAAATTAAAAAACATCAACCGATATAAAATCATAAATTATACAACACAGCATAAAACTTTAAGGAAGCATTTAACAAAATGAGATTAAGATCTTTATAATTTTTATAATTTAATCTTCTTTAATAAAAAGCTGAAGAGTTCGTTTCTTTGGTTTAACGCGTTAATTTCAGAAATAACTGGTCCGATTTAAAAAATATTTTTGTGTTGGATAGCCCAGCGCTTACAGCTGGGCATCAATGAAAAATGTAGTGAAAACAGGATAAATATTCAAACTATTTTCATGCGTACGAAGTTGCGGGCACAGCTAGTATTTTATATTCCGAGAATTCTAGCAAGAATTTTAAATTAAGTTTTACTTAATGAGTAGGTAGATACACTGCACTACTTACATATTTAGAGGTGGATTAATTTCCTCAGTGTTTGTTAACACACAGTAGTGTTTTGACGATAATGATAAAAACCAAAAGACTCAACACAGCGCTATAAAATGGGTATATTAACCTTACAAGGATGGTATCCCGTGGTAAGTTGGAGGTAGATGTTCAGAGGTGGTGTACATCACTTTATTATCTGACTCTAGTCAGCCAGTTCCAGTCATAGTCATAGTAATTTATTCCAAAAACAATAATAAGTAGATTCTTCTTTCAATTCCAGGTGCTCGTTGCTATTTCCTGCAACTTCTTCTGCATCGGAGTTGGAAGCACCTTTGGTTTAAGTGCTGTCCTCTTGCCCCAAATCAAAAACGAAACAAATTTTATCTACGATGACAGCTATGACTCTTGGGTTGGTAAGAATCTTGATTTTAATTATCCTCATAAACTCCCAAAGATTGATTGCATTGCATTCATCGAAGGATACGTTGAAGTTAAGCCATGTAAGACACGTATGGTAGTGGGTACTAAATACTGACACCAAGCTTATCACGTCTGTGGTCACTAATTAACACGAAAACACGATATAAATTACTACCACCTTAATAAAATTAGTGATGAACTTATTCGTACTTAAAGATTACTGAAAGAAAAATAGTAAACTTACTTTTAAACCCCTTAACTGCTGGTGTAATAAATTGTTGCCACCGTATTTGGAACTTTTGGTTTACCATTACATTTTAACTTTTCAGGTTCCAGTTCCTGCCTTGCGATGGCATTTGGCTGCATCAGTGCCGGCGTCATCTCCGATCGGTTCGGCCGGCGATTCGCACACCTCCTCGTCGCCCTGCCTTTCATAGCCGGCTGGCTCATCCTTGGCTTCGCAAAGAACATCACAATGATTTTAATTGGGAGGGTCATAACAGGGGCGTGTACTGGCGCCCTTAGATCTTTAGGCCCTGTCTACCTCGGAGAAATCGCAAACCCAGCCTACAGACCTTTTCTAATTTTCTCACTGTCACTTTCATCTACCAGCGGAATTTTCCTCGGTCATTTGTTCGGAGGATATCTCAATTGGAGGACTGCCTGTTTCATCATGTGTGTGCCCACTGTCCTGGGCTTGTGCTTACAAGCAATTTTAAAAGAAAGCCCTTTGTGGCTTTTATACCAGGGAGAGATTGGTAAAGGCACGGAAATATTCACATGGTATAGGGGTGACAGCGAGATTGCTCAAAAAGAACTCGCAGATGTGCTGACTGAACAGAAAAACCGACCACAAAGTTTGTCATTTACAGAAGGTTTAAAAACCACGTGCAGCACAGCATTCGTAAAGCCGTTGTTAACGTCTTTCTTATTGTTCACGACTATGCAATTCACAGGAGTTAATAGCATGAGTTTCTATGCCCAGGATTTGCTGAAAGCCACATTCTCTGGTAATCTAGACCCAATGATGTTGATGCTTGTTACGGATGCCACAAGGATTTTTGGTATTTTTATACTGTTTTTCACTTCAAAATTTATACCTCGAAAGAAATTTTACGTGATTTCTTGTTCTACGCTTGTATGTATGTTGTTATCATTGATTGCATACATAGCACTTGAACCTAGTGGGGTAGTTTGGTTTTCCATTATCATTATACTATTGTTGGTTTACATAGGGTTAGGTAGTATTATGATTAGTTTAAGTTGGTCTTTTGTTGGAGAGATCTTTCCAAGTAGCCTTCGCGGATTAGGTTCGGGAATCGGGTGTTCCAGTTCGTTCTTTCTATTATTTTTAGTAGTCAATGTGACGCCAATAATAATGGTGAATCATGGTATAATAGCTGTATACTCCATGTTTGCGGGTGTGACTCTATTTGCTGTATTTTTCCTGCATTTCTTGTTACCGCAGACAGACGGGAAGACTTTGCAAGAAATTGAAAGTGGTTATGATGACAAAAAAATAAACCAAGGATAGCTAAGCTAGGTAATTATGTTAAGAAAAAAGTTTAAGTCAGTCAGTAAGGTAATTTGTATTAATGGTTTAGTATTATACCTAAATTTAGAAAATAAAGAAATCCTTTTTGTGTACCTAAGTTTTCCCTCGGCTGTATCTGAAAATGACTAAGTATTTGTTATACCTACTTGAAATTATTATATTTAATTTCAGTCAATCTGTAGCAGTATTAGCTTTAATTCAATTCAATCGTTCGTTCGTCTCAGGCAAATGACGTCCACTGGACAAAGGCCTCCCCCAAGGATTTCCACATAACCTTGGATAACAATATTGAATTAAATTCATTAATAATAAGTAGGCATAGGAAAGATCTTTGAAAACAGCTGAAACTTGAAAACAAACGAGAGTATACTTACATTAAACTAAAATGTATCCATGAGACTAAGGAACATGTAATTCGTCGCAGCATTGCTATCTTTAGCTACTAAAAAACTAAACATACGTGACGGCATTGAACGTGTTAAATACGAAAATTTCATAACTAAGTAGGTACCTAGTACCTACTGGGTTTCCCGGAACTGATTAACTAATCAGATTCAGGATAGCATTTGTTTGCCCTAGGTAGGCGACAGGAACCAACGCGTAACGCCTAGAGTTTAGTTATGAGTAGGTGCTAAGTACCTATCTAAAAATACCAAATAATTAAGAATGTAAATGAAATACAAAAGACAATGCCGGAAATTGGCGTCTTTTTTTTTTCGCGCGGCCATCGACCAAACCTTGTTTGTTGATTACAAAATAGTATAATAAACCAAACTTACTATGACATGTATACCTCTAAACTCAGTTTGAACTGAGTTACGAGCATTAGAAGTTTGATGATGCTTTTTGCGCGCAAGTTTTGTAAGAAATTGCAACAAAATAGTGACATTGTATGTGTAAACAAACAATATCATCCATTAAAGGCTCCAGACATCAGTATGCAGCAGAATCAGCGCAATAAAAAAATAGCGCAATATTTTGTTGCAATTTCTTACAAAACTTGCGCGCAAAAAGCAAATCTAGTATGAAAATCATCAAACTTCTAATGCTCGTAACTCCGTTCAGACTGAGTTTAGAGGTATACATGCCATAGTAAGTTTGGTTTATTACACTATTTTGTAATCAAAAAACAAAGTTTGGTCGATGGCCGCGCGAAAAAAAAAAGACGCCACCTTCCATACAAAGTCTGGCATTGCCATTTATCTACACTCGTCTCTTTAATTAAAATAATAATAGTTTCTTTCTACGCAGAACACGTCGACAGCGACACGCTCTGCGATCCCAATTTCTTAAATTCCAGTGTGTTTTAAATATTAAACAGATATGGCAAAATAGTGATCGTATAGTTAATTTAAAAGTTACATATTTTGTACCCAATATTGAATTATGTGATAATATGGCGCAAGATCTATAAAAATGGTGAATCAATCAACATTTAAAAATGTTATGCCTAAAGTTTCCTCGCCTTTATTAAAGCAAGTAAGTAATTAATTTAATTACCTGTTGTACTATTATAATACTAACTTCGAACTCCTCCTATGTTCTGATTAATTTCGTTGCGGGTCCAATGACTTTAAACTTTAAATTCCCTCGGGACAAACTTGACTTTCACTGGTTGGGTTTTTATTGGCGGTCAAGCTGTAGATCCTGGCTATACAGGAGTTGCAGCGTTTGGAAAGAGAGGTGGGAATAGTCCCGTGTTTAGTAGGTATATTGCTTTCCTACCTAAAATACCACTATCGACTCTATTGGCTATAGACTTGATTTTGACTTAAGGGGGCGTCCATAAATTACGTGAGACAATTTTGGCCATTTTTCAACCCCCCCGCCCCCCTTGGTGAGATTTTGCCTGACCCCCTCCCCCACCCCCCTAATCTCACGTGATATTTAATAAAATGCCTATTTTGCCATGTCTATGCTTCGAGTCTATTAGATTTATATGAAAAAATCAGTAACCCAGTGTCGTGCCACGCGCAGTGCAGGGTTCCGTAGCTTCCAGTCGTTTAGTAAGACAAGCACTTGCTTACGGAACCCTACACTGCGCGTGGTACGACACGCACTTGGCCAATTTTTTACGCAATAGCGACGTTTTTTTTAAATTTCGAATTTTCTTAATTTCGACATTTATTCTGCATCTTTAGTGTTCACAAATGCTGATGGAGGCATTTTTAGTTTAATTTGATTAGACGGTTTAGAATAAATTGTCATTATCATCATAAAAAAAAGCATTTTTTTTACTTCAATAACCCAGTTTTCTGGCAATTTTACTCTATTTCTTGTAGGAAAAATTACGTGATATTTTCCGAGACCCCCCCTCTCCCCCACGTGAGATTTAGTGAGGTTTTCGTTGACCCCCTCCCCCCCCTAAAAGTCTCACGTAATTTATGGACGCCCCCTAAGTAATTGTAATGACTTTGTATTAAGTAATTGTAATGATCGTCACTTTATTTCAGATGCTTGTTGCAATGTCTTGCAACATGTTCTGCCTCATAACTGGATGCACGTTTGGGTTCACCGCCGTTCTTCTGCCGCAGATTAAGAAGGACGATGAGTTTCCTTACAGTGACACCTATGACTCATGGATTGGTACGTAGCGATATTTATAAAATGCAGGTCTAACTCTGTACAATGATTTTAAAGTACCTAATTATCTAACTCTGCGGACCCTACAGCTTAACTAATCAATCGTCTCTCTCAGTCATACAAACTTCTCAGGGTGTGTGAGAGAAATAGAGATGTTACTTTTTAAAGCACCTTCGGGAAGCTCCCAGCCATCCAGTAATCCAGTTCATCCTGAACATAAAAGATACGAATCTAAAGATCACTTTGTTATTTTTTCAGCTTCGAGTTCTTGCCTCGCAATGGCAGTAGGCTGCTTCGCTGGAGGCCTCCTCTCCGACAGGTACGGGAGAAGAATCACGCATCTCATCGTGATTCTGCCTTTCTTGGCCGGATGGATCGTCCTGGCCTTCGCGAAAAACGTCCTAGCCCTCCTCATTGGAAGAGTTCTCACAGGACTGAGTTCTGGTGTCTTTCGGTCCTTAGGCGCGATTTGCCTCGGAGAAATAGTAAGTCCCATTGACCGACCAGCTTTTATATTCACTCTGTCGGTGTCAGGCAACGGCGGTATCTTGTTCATCCATATCCTCACCGGATATCTCAGCTGGAGACTCTCTTGCTTCATCGTTTGTCTCCCCGTCCTCCTCGGTATTGGTCTGCAAGTTTTAGCAAAAGAAAGCCCACTCTGGTTCATGTCTAAAGGCAAAATTGGCAAAGGGACTCAAGCCTTCAGGTGGTTTCGGGGCACTGATGAATGTTCCCAGAAAGAACTTGCAGAGATTCTAGAAAAACAAAAAGATCGACCACCAGAGTTGACTTTCAAAGATTGTTTAAGAGCTGCCTCCAGTAAAGCATTTTTGCTGCCGTTGTTCACGGTGATTTGTCTGTCCACAACTGTGCAATTCAGTGGTGTCAACACCATGAGTTTCTTTGCGCAGGATTGAGTCCACATTCTCTGGACAAGAAGATTCCTTTATGGTGATGCTTATTACAGATTCCACAAGAGTTTTCGGCGTTTTTATCATGTTCGCGTTTTCAAAATATATCCCTCGAAGGAAATCTTATTTCATTATTTGTGGTAGTCTTTTACTTTTATTGATAGCATTGATTGTATACACAGTAGTTCAATCCGATGGATTGGCTTGGCTGGCCATTACGATTTTGATGGTTTACATGGCGTTAGGTAGCATGATGGCAGGATTAAGCTGGACTTTCGTGGGAGAGATATTTCCAAGTACTTTGCGTGGATTGGGTTCAGGTATTGGTGCCGGATTCTCCTTCTTCCTTTTATTTATATCGGTCAATATAACACCAGGAATAATGATGAACTATGGAATAATAGCCACATATGCGACATTTGCTGTGGTGACTTTCCTTGACTTAATATTACTGTACTTTTTGCTTCCGCAAACTGATGGGAAGACTTTACAACAAATTGAAAATGATTATAGTAAGAAATAGTAAAAATTATGTGTTAGAGCATCTCTAAATCTATACTAATATTATAAAGCTGAAGAGTTTGTTTGTTTGTTTGTTTGTTTGTTTGTTTGTTTGGTTGAACGCGCTAATCTCAGGAACTACTGGACCGATTTGAAAAGTTCTTTTTGTGTTGGATAGCCCGTTAGTTCCTGAAGGCTTTAGGCTATTTATCATCACGCTAAGACCAATAGGAGCGGAGCACCAATGAAGAATATTTCAAATCAGTGATTTTTTTCCTTTTGAGAGCTGACGCTGCGTAAACGGTTAAAATTTCGCAAAAATCATGTATGACAGGATTGTTCCCCTTTAAAAGTTCTTTAAAAAAGTCCGCGGTAGCATATGTCTATCTTTTAAGGTTGGCTCATAGTAACCCTTTTTATGCAAAAAAAATCTGTTTTAAAATAATGCATTATTTGCGAAGGTGTTTTTATAAACATGATATTAATCCTTATCCAAATAAATAAATTATTCACCACAAGTATTTAATTTTAAACATTCTTGCCCTTTACACCATTCGATTTCAATAAATATCTTAGGAGATATCGCAGTTTTAAAATCACATCGCAGCAAAATAATGATCAAGTACTACGCGCGCTACTGATGGATCAATGCACAGCCTAAACCGCTGATCGTAAAGACCTGAAACTTGGACGGTGTGTTCTTTGTATGACGTAAGCATCTGATAAGAAAGGATTTTCCAAAATTCTACCCCTAAGGAGGTAAAAAGGAGGGGCAAAGTTTGTATGAAATAACGAGATTCCTTCGTCCAATCTACTTAAAATTTTGCATAAGCATTCTATAACAGAATTAATGGAAGACGTGTTTCGTATTTTAGTGAAATGCACCCCCTAACTATGTTAAAAAGGGGTAGAAAGTTATTTTAGTGGTGATTTGCTTCAAAGTTGATATTAATTACTCATTAGTGCATTTTTTTACAATCATGACGTCATGTTAACGACTACCATACTCTAGGGGTCTCCACTTAACCTCGGAGTGGGTGCCCGCTGCGTGCGCTCGCCTAACATTGCATAGTAATGCATGAAAGTCATGCCGCGGGCACCTGCTTGCGCTGTATACATAAACTCATTTTCGCGCGAGAGTTTTGGCGGAGGCCCTTGAGTTAGTGGGAGTAGTCTTGAGGAAAAGCTCCTTCTCCCACGGCCAGTGGCATGCTGGAAGCTTGGTGATTCTAGCACCCGTAGGAAAATATAAAAAAAAGTTTACCAATAATACTGCGGTAGGTGTAGTTTTCGATTTCGTTGTAAAAAAATAAAACCACCGAGTAACTTTCACCGGATCAAAGGTCGAGCTGCATATTCATAAAATATAAGAAAAAAATATTTTCATGTTTATTTAACCTGATTTTTATATTTTAAAAGTATTCAAACATTTAGATAATAACAACGTTAAAACATTTAAAAATAATCGTATGAGAACGTTTTCGACTTCTCCACGGACGAAGTCGCGGGCAAAAGCTATAATTTGTAAAATAATTAGACTAAATTATTAAAAGTGCCTACCCAAAGTCATTATTCCACGCGGACGAAGTCGCGGGCACAGCTAGTTTTCTTATAAAAGATTGACTTATTTAACAAGCACTGTTGCATTAAATGTTGTGAAAAGGCGTGGATGGTTATTGATAGATAGATCTTAAGATAGACAGCCACGGGTTTTGTGTTTAACTTTTCCTCATTTAGATACGTATAGCACAGCATATTTAGAAACTTATTCAGGATTGATAAAAGTCAGACGTTCGCTAGTTGCAAAAAAACACAGAATATTACCTATACGAAAAGTATTTATTATTTTCACTTAAAACTTAAGTTAGCAGTCTTTAGAATTTACACATAATCAGACTGTTATTGAATGATAATAGTCTAGTTTTATCACTTTGAATACCTTAGCTCTTATAATATAATGACTGTAGTTGGTGACTGTACGCTGCATCTTCAAATTCACTTCACTTCTGGCTTAGCTTCGTCCACTAACTTCCTGATAGGTCCCGTTTGGGTTATGGGAACAGAACGTTCCCCTTTCACTGAATCCGCTTTCCTGGGTGCGACGACAGTCAACACGCCATCTGAAGACAATCTGGACTCCACCGCATCTGGGTTACTATCTTCTGGAAGCTTGAACTTCCTCGTGAACTGCCTGGATATGTAGCCATGCTCATCTTTCTTTTCTTCATGTTTTCCTTCCACTACGATGAACCCATCCACTATTTTAACAACGACTTCATCTGGAGAGAAATGCTGAACGTCAACGTTGATTTGCCACTTGTCCTTATCAGCTTTGATTGTAGATCCCACGCCTTGTGCTACTTCTGGCCACCAGGGGCTGAGGCGAGGGAAGACTGGGCTGGTGACAGCTGACATGACGTCTTCTGGTGTTAAGGCCAGTCCGAAGTTCTGGTCCAGGAGCCTCCTCGGCCATTTCGGCGCGGCGTAGTCGAAGAAATGCGGGATGATAGACATTTTGCCTGTGTAGTGTACTGTAGTGAACTAGTGTTAGGTCGATACTAGTGGAATGCGCTCGAGTCTCGAGTTTATATGCGCGCGCGCCGTTTTATTTGGCACATGAGTCGTATTTAGAACGGGCGAGAACGTTCTCGGCAGGAGTTCGTTGCTGCGCGCCCCCAAAGGTTAATGTAATGACTACAACATTGAAGAATCCAACTTTCATCAGATTTACTGTAAAATAAAAGGTGGCCCTAAGGAATTTTAGCAACGAGTAAATTAGGATTATCAATTTTAATAACATTATAAACTAGCTTTTGCCCGCGGCTTCACCCGCGTCAAATTAATTTGTCACAGAACTCACAGATCGTCATAAATTATAGCCTATTATGTTTATTCTGGGTTATAAACAATAATACTGTAAAGTTTCATCAAAATCCTTTCAGTGGTTTTTGCGTGAAAGAGTAACAAACATCCAGACATCCATACAAACTTTCGCATTTATAATATTAGTAAGATGTTAACTTGCTTATATTAGTCGTAAAACCTGTAATTGTAAGTATGAAGCAAAATAATAGTTAGCTTTAACTTCAAGTTAAATTCTGTTTGCTATTATTGTGCATACTTATTTGCGTCTGAAAGAGGATTTTTATTAAGAAATAATATTTTACTGAAACGCAATTACATACAGAACTTTCTACAGGCAGGAGGTATTTTAACAGTTACTGGCACTAGACAGGTTAATAAATTATCTACTGATGAGTAAAGATTTAATTAATGTGTCTATTATATTCATAGGGTTTTCCTAGATAAGTAGGTACTTCTAGAGTTTAACCATACTATGTGTCCTCATAAAAAGTAACCAGGTATTGTGAAGAATTGAAGAAACTTGCGTAAATAATTTACTCGTATTAAGTATTAAATGGCTTACATAACTCTGTTTATCATAATTCAGAAATTTCAGGAAGGTCAGGTGGCTGAGTCACATTGAATCAAAAATAGCGTTTGTAGTGTTTACGTAAAATTATTATTAACGTATATTTTTAGCACCCCCTACGCAACTGGACGTGGAAATATTTCTGTCAAGAAGTTGTTTATTATCACAATTCGTAATAGTCAGTAGGTAGATAGTTTTCCGCGAAATTATGACGTAGGTTTGAATGAATAACTTTAGAAATTCTTCATTGAAGATATTTGTTCTTAACCTTTTCAGAGCCACGGTCTTCTACATAGAAGACAAACGTTTCCGTACCCTCTTTTTGTTTATTTTCAAAACAGTAAATATTTTTTCTTACTGTTCCAGCAGGCGCCATAGCTTGGCGCCTGTGATACTGCTTTTCATATGGGTTGGCGGCTAATAGGTTAATCGGTAGCTTTACTCTAGCTAAGTACCGATATCTTGAACGCTATTATTTGAACACAACAAAGATACCTACCTATTATTTCACAGTATGGTACAGTCTAGAAAGTGCGATGAGTCAGTCAGTGTTGTAGACGTGTAGACAAAACATCAGACTGTGTATTTTTGTAAAATTGCATCTATTACAAAGTTATACCTACATAGACACTAGACCTTGTGGGTTTTGCGGTACGTGGCCTCCACTCCAGAACCTTGCTGCCCCATCGGTCGTCAGTTCTGCGTACCTACCTACTATGTGCCCTGCCCATTGCCACTTCAGCTTGCTAATCCGTCGGGCTATGTCAGCGACTTTATTAGTTCGGACACATAATAAGTAGTAATAGTACCATGGTTCGGACGGATCTCCTTAGGTTTTTACTCAGGAATGCATAAAATGTTATGTTAAACCATAATTTTTCCCTTTTTGTTTACGCGAACCAGCTGCGGCAATATTTTTGTTATAAAAATAAAAGAAAGTAAGTAGGTAGGTAGTTATTTTCAAGATACCTAGCTAGGTCTGGAAATTGCTCGACACGATTGATATTGATTTGTGATAAGAAAAATGAGGAATGACTTGTTTACGTTTAAAGTTATTTTTAAATGGACAATAATAATATTGAATAGTAGGTACTTTTCCTCCTTGCTATCTCTTATCCATGACCTTTTGATATTATTATTCGTTTCGTCCATGTGCAAAATGTACACTACAACTATACCTACCTACCTAATAGCTGGTGAACAAAAGAAACCTTTTACTTTTACCGTAAATATTATTATAGTTTCATGTCTTGAATGGTGTATGGTAGTGGCCAGGTAGATATTAATGTAGTTTAGTTAGTCACAGAAACTACAAATCATCACAATACAATATTTATCACCGTTTTACAGACTATCAAAATTATTTCTTTTCATCCTTCGGTTTCTCAGCCGTTTTCTCGACGATGTGCTGCACAGCCTCCAAGGTTTCCGTTTTGACCTTCGGCTCAGCTGCTGATATGGGGATGACGGTCTCACAGGGCAAGTTTTTGTCGCAAGTCTGTCTTGGAGCTGTGACTGTGAGGATACCGTCAGGGGATAGGTGGATTTTCATCGTTTCCGGAGTGCAACCGTAAGGGAGCTTGAATTTGCGGACGAACTGTCTGAAAAGAGGTAATATTTTGGGGAGTAAGTATGCCGAACTGCTTTAAAACATTGCCTTATGCCTAAAGGCTTTTTCGAATAACGCGTTTTAACAAATGCGTTGAAATTAAAATAACAACATTAGTAACAGAGTGTACGGTCTTGTAAACGTACGAAGAGCATGACTAACGTCTAAGGAAAAGGTCTAAAATTTGAAAGAGCCTTATGCATATATGACTATTAGGTAATTGTGTCATGTACGCTGTATACTTAAGTATGGTTATAAGCATCATAATGCGAAAACAAAACTCGTTTTTCATTCGTATTTATCAGTCGATGTGTCAACTGACTCGATCAACGATCACCTTACTTCCCGTCCTGCTGATTGTGGTTTGCAATTGCATATTGTTTGCATACCGCAGGCAGTTAGCAACTCCGCCAATCTACAATATTATGCACTAATATGAACGCGATAGCTTATGTCCGTTTGTTGCAAGTTTTTTGCACCCAATAATAGCGCTCTCAGCAGCGCCTACACAAATTACACCGTGCTACAATGTTACGATCATCTGCAATCTACATAATAGCCACAATAGCTGATCCAATTCCAGTGAGCTTTGAATGGATATTGTGTAAGTAGGTTATGTCTCAGAGAAGGACGTTTCAAGAATAGGGGAATAGGGTATCAAAATTAATGTTTAGGAATAGGACGTAGCGCGAAAGATTTTGTGATAGACAGAAATCCTTGGGCAGACATGGATCACTGGCAGAAGCTAGTGTTACTGAACTATAATACTGGTCATCACAACAATCGGCCCACCTACGTTTTACAGGAAAACTCGTTTCTACTGACACAATCATGGTGCCCCAACAATATTGGTGTTATTTGAAAGCCCAATAAATATCCTTAAAGAAAAACACATTTAATTTCTTAATAAACAATTAACATAAACGCATATCGCGTTTACGATAATTGTTTATTAAGTATATAATACAATAAATGTGACTTGAAAAAAGACCTCACTTTGGGCTCATCTCCGGGATCAATTAAGTAGACCAATTTTTATGGTTATAAAACCAAATAATGATCTCAGGTGTCCTCTTTAACAGATGGATAGCGATTAATCCCAACTTATCAGTTTTATAGCCATAAAAGTTGGCTCAAGCGTAACTACCTACTTTTTGAAGAAGTGACTCTGGATTCTTCTACAATAAGGCGGCCAACTTTATAATAAGTCAATGCGGGACACCCACATTTTTTAAATCATATTTTTCACATGAGTGGCATTTTTTAATAGGTCTGGGTTTTGGTTCAGAATGTCCAAAAAGTTTTCACAGCTGCCCATATTGATTTTATAATTAGCATTGCACGTAATGTTTCTACTTTTAGTGACGACTTTTCGGATGTCCATAAGCTGTTCATTAAGGAAAAAACTCGTTCCGTAGGAGCGTTTGTTCCTGGCAAACAGAGTAGGTACTGGACGATGGCTAGGCAAAAGTCATTTGTATTTTGATGTGGAACACTTTTATGCGAGCAAAACGATGGGAAACGAAGAATGCGGGACATACGGGACGCCTCGGACGATTTGCGGGACTATTTTATTAAATATTGCAATGCGGAATTGCAACTGTCATTACGGGACGGTCCCGCAGAATGCGGGACGGTTGGCCGCCTTATTCTACAACCACATTTTTTTGGGTAAAAAAAACCTTTCCTTTAATGAAATTAAGTTTAGAACTAGGTTCTTAAATGGTGCCAAGGGGATGCATACGTTTGAAAGTGCTTGTCGCGGGAGGGTCAATTTTATTGATTACCAGTGTATGAGTAAAAATGTAACTAGTACATAATATTGTGGTATTGTGTACATAAAATAGAAACCTTATCACGTATCCTTTCTTCGACTTCTTTTCTTGCTTCCCTTCGATAATGACATACTCTGGCCTTGCTTTTACCCTTAGTTCTTCCTTCTTGAACTGTTTCACGTTCAGGGTTAGCTCGAACTTCTCTCTTCCTATCCTTATTGAAGGTCTGACACCCCGAAATTGAACCCAGGAGTTGCTATTAGGCCTAAAAACCCTGTATAAAGGACTCAAGAACATAATTTACCACACATTTTACATCTGTAGGGCGCCTAATTTATTTTAACATTGTAAACAAGTTTTGAAAACATATCGACATCACGGTGACCATGCCAAAAGTGACACTAGGTACCTACCATAAACTAAAGTTTTATTGAGGAGTATTTGTGCATAAAGATGCATCATCATTTTTGTGTCCTTGGTCGCTAGCGTGTCTGTCTGGCATTGGAAGTGCAGTGAACTACGGCGTGCACAAACATCAGCGGTTCTCAAACCTACAATCCACATTGAGAAATTAAAAAATGTGCCTCCTATTGCTCCTATTCAGTTTTTTCACGGGTCATTCACTTAACTGAGACACCAATGACAGTGATAAAGAAAAGATGTGCAAAAGGCATCATCACGTTTAGCTAAACACTCTTTTCATGTTATGTAGGTAGGTCTTTATAATTTTAATAAGAATATGTAGGTAAGATTTAAATTTTTGGCCGCTCTTTTGTGCCATAATGCTTCGTGTCCCAAGCGCCCACAAGGGGGCATGCATAACGCATTCTTGGAGAACATCTGATGTTTATCATTCAACGTGTGCAATTGCATACATGCACATTCAAAAGATAGGGGAAGAGCACAGCTCAGGTGGTGGTGTGAAACTGGTTATGCGTGCACCTTTCGCCCGTTTATAAATTTAAGAATAATATGCAATTTATTTTTGGGACAAACTATCTATACTTACCTATAACAAGCACGTCGCGTCAGCTCATATCGTGTGACCAATACAGGTGTTGTTGTTGTGGTCTAATAACTATTTAGTTTAGACTAAAAATAAATAGCGTCTCGTGTCTAGCTATCTCGGTATTTCACAAAGGATGGACGTTGTCCATTCGTCTTATCAATACGGAACTAATCTCAATTCCCACCACTCGTTCCTCCACCAACTTTTGCAAATTCAGCTCCTAAACCATTGAACTAATATTACCAAGTATTAAAACTCAAATGTCCTGAACTATTATCGACCGGGTAATCCAACAGCTAGCCCTTTACCTAGCTAGACTTTTGCGTGCATCTCACCGGGCGATCAATGCAGCCGCGCCCAACGCATGGCAATACCTACCTATCTATATTCTGCAATGCCTGAAAGGTCAATCAACTTCCACGTAATCCAGACAGAAAAGTAGGGTAAGTGCGCTAGTTTTCGTCCAATTATCGGAGTTGCCTACTTTGTGATGNACAAGGGGAACATGCATAACGCATTCTTGGAGAACATCTGATCATGTTTGTCATTCAACGTGTGCAATTGCATACATTCAAAAGATAGGGGAAGAGCACAGCTCAGGTGGTGGTGTGAAACTGGTTATGCGTGCACCTTTCGCCCGTTTATAAATTTAAGAATAATATGCAATTTATTTTTGGGACAAACTATGTATACAGTGTGAGTCACGTTAAAGTGTACATATGAAAATAGATGAAACTAGACCTATTTTTATCGACAAAAAAGAGGTCAAAAAATTTTTGAGTTTTTTTTTTCTTCCAATTACTTATTGTAAAGAAAACGTAATAACTTTTAAACTAAGCGGTATATCCTGATAAAATAAAAACAGTAATAATGCTAAATAACAGGCGATACTAAAAAAATACATAAAATACACAAAAAAGGCCAACAAATAATAAAAAATGATACTTTTTGAATAAAATCTGCTTTTAAATTCGTGTTTTTTTGGTTATTTGATAAATTTCTCCAAAAAATGCCCCTATAACATGTGGTTTTTATTACTTTTTATTATTCTCTATCGTATTACCTTCGTAAAACCAAAAATCACATGTCTCTATCCCTATCACAACGTCAATGATCCAACAGCTAGCCCTTTACCTAGCTAGACTAGCCTCTCTCTCATGCATTTGCGTGCATCTCACCGGGCGATCAATGCAGCCGCGCCCAACGCATGGCAATACCTACCTATATTCTGCAATGCCTGAAAGGTCAATCAACTTCCACGTAATCCAGACAGAAAAGTATTCGTCTAGAATGAAACGAGTTCAATCAGTTATTGGGTTTTATTAATCTAAGGTTATTGGAATGTGAGCTGTGTGAAGTAGGTAGGGTAATAAGTAGTAGGATCGTAATGACGTGTAGTGTGGGTAAAACTTTTGGTGGTTTAAAAAGCCCCCCCATTTTAAAAAATCATCCCTCAAGAGCTTAATTTTGTGAATTTTGCTAAGTAGGTAGGTAATGTATGATTTTATGGACTTTTATGTGGGTGACTACTTTATTAAAACAAACAAATGTAGGTACCTACCTACATTAAATATATTCAACTACCTACCTAAATTATTTCATCATGGATGTAAAAATTCAGAGGTCAATAAGAAAAAACAGGAGTAAAAGACGAAAAAGTTTAATTATAGCACATACCTAACAGATGACTATTACGAATTGTATCAAACTTAAATTAGTAAGTAGTCNTAGTAGTTCACTAGCACTGCTAAACTTTGGATTAAGGAATAAATACGAATTTTAAATGCAACGCATCACGAGATTACAAAATCACAGTTAAAAAAATGAGATCCTACTTCTCTTCCTCCTTCGGTTCGTCAGGCACAGTCCGGTCCTTGATCTCCTTCCTGACTGGGCCGGTTTTGGCGATGGGTACAGGACGCTCAGCTTTGGACACGTCTGATACTTTCTTCGGCGCCGTGATGGTCAGCACTCCATCCGACGACAGCTTGGATTCGACGGTCTCCGGGTGCGTTCCCTCCGGCAGGGCGTAGCGGCGCGTGAACGAGCGGGAAACAAATCCATGGTCATCTTTCTTCTCTTCGTGCTTGCCCTCCACCACAATGTACCCATCTGCAGTCTTCACGGAGATCTCTTCGGGCAAGAAATGCTGCACGTCCAAGTTGATCTGGAACTTGTCCTTCTCCACCTTAATGCTGGATCCCATGTCACGAACGGCGTTTGACAGATGCCTCCATGGCCTGTAGTATTCTGATGACAGTGAAGGTGCCACGACAGCGGTCAGCAAGTCATCAGGCCCGAGCGCCAAGCCGAAATCTTGATCCAAAAGCCGGCTGGCTGGCAACAATGGGTGATGAATTATGGGGCGTCGAGGAACATGAGGAACATCCAGTCCCAATACATACGGTAGCAGAGACATTTTTCGTGGATAGAAGTTTAACGTTGGATTAGAGTAAATTATTTATCTCACTTTCGTGTACTTCGGAGCTTGTTTACAAATGCAATATGCCGGCCGGCGTTCGACGTCATTACTTATACCCTTCGAACAGCGCCATCTAGTAGCGAGTAGAAAAATCTCGAACTTGCCAGACGATTCGTTGTATTAATTTGTAGGGGTGGTGAGGGATGGTGAAATACGATTCATCGAAAATTCGGGCTTTCCGTTTGATATTTTTTTTAATAAAATTTTTGGGTGGTTCGAAAAATTTACATTTAAAAAATTAGGCAGTGTTTTTTATTTTTTACACGAATTGTGCATAAAATCATATTTTTTTTTTCAGTAAATTAATAGTAATAGCTGTTGGCCAGTTAGTTTGTGTTACAAAGTGGGATTTTTTTTACGCAGAACAAGGCACAGATATTTGACATCAATCGCACTTGATGATAAGACGTGAGATGCAGTCTATGATGGATGGTTAAAAAACTTAAAAATATAGGTATTGATTGGTCTTTAAAATTTGATTGACTAAAGTGAATTTTATAGTGTTTTATTCAGTCACGATCAACAATAATTTTAGATTGCATCTTTTTTTCTCGTCTTTTTCGGATCTGTCCTGAATTCCTGATTTTGAAACCCGAAATAAAAAAACGGAATATCGAAATTCGGAAATTCGGGTTTCAAATCCTAAGTCCTAGCACGCCCTTGTCGCAAAACAAATTAGGTGTTGGTGTGAGTATGGAAGCTACTAGATGTCGTCTTTCTTGCGTGTGTGTGTTTTTAGGGAGCAAAAGGGCGAAAGGACAACCTAGGTCGAATTAAAACTACGCAGTCGGCTGTACTAATTTTGTGAGCTTTACCTATTTGTTTACATTGAATATTGAGAGCGCAGCAGATCGGAACTGGGCAGTAAAATGACTAAGCCACGACTTGACAAAAATAGATTTTAAGGCTGTGCGTACGTCGGGATGTATTTGAAGAAAAACTATTTAATTTAGTTAAAAAAAATCCCAGTTAATTTACACACATACATGACTGGACTACTATAGCGGACTAAGGGGAGATATTTATTATGAAACCATGAAACGAGCAAACACATATTGTAATAAGACATAATTTAGGGATAGGATAGAATCCAGGAATCCTGTACCAATCAGCTGCCGCCCCTTCCCCTGTCTACGGTCACACGGAGGGCGATCAATACTTTAGTCTGGAGACCTATGTTTACATCGTTTTGTTTTGACTGAAACTCAACATGATATCAACATGTGGGTAAATTAGTGACTAAAGGCTCTTTGCCACGGCGATATCCGGTTTTTTACAGGTAGTGTTTTTTGCTAGATCCCGTTTTTAGTAGTTTTTAATACTTCCTACTAAACATTCACATAAATATCGCATTTGATTATGCAGTCCTGCAAAAATCCGATACGTATGAAATTTAGAATTTAGAATTCGCCTTTGTTATTAAAGTGGACCAGTAAAAAATTGGAAAAAATTAGATTATTTAAAAAAAATGATTTCAATAGAAGTGTTCCCACTGCTAGCAACTTATTATTATCCTATGCCTATGTTATTTATTTACCACGTTTTTTCAAGCGAATAAAATATTTTATCATTTGAAACTTTTTTCTTTGAAATTACTCATATTTATCTTAATAGATAAAACACGTAAAAGGGACTCATACGTAAAAGATAATCATTGTTTCATCATTAAAAAACCACCCTCCTGCCTGCAGTTGGGTAAAAATTTACGACACACCTTTTCGCGCGGCCTTGTAGCATGAACTCGAAACGAAGACGAATGTTCTACGTATAGGGTAAGTGCGCTAGTTTTCGTCCAATTATCGGAGTTGCCAACTTTGTGATGCGAAATGAATATCTTAAAATACCNTACGTATACATGACCTACCCGAACATTCGATAACGTTCCAGACGATGCGTGGCGTTATTCACTGACGCGACTGCTGCGCAAGACCAGTGGAGCTAAATTCGCGGGCCGCATTCATTTTGCGTCTTATTTTTTTGTAAAACATTGCTTAACAATTTATTGTTTGTTTAACCATAATATTGAGAGTTGTACATTTATGAATTATATAATTGTTACCAATAAATACAATTTTGTTTCATTTTAATGTTACACAAAATAAATTTTTCATAAATAATATTTTAGTTTTAGCGTTAAGAGTTCATAATTCATAAATAAACAATTTTCAATATAATCTGAAATAAAGAGATTCTTCCAAAAAAAATTATTACATATTTATTAAATCTGTAGAGAGATTGGTACTTGATTTGATTATTTCCTACTTTCTGTTTTTTAAAGTCAATGAGTTTTAATGAGTCGTAGCTTTTTTATTTGGGAATAGGGTTATTATTATTTATGTCTATTTATTTATTGAAACTCATTGAGTTTTGTATAAACAAAAGTTAATAATTTTATTATACATTCATTCAGATTTAGGTAGCAAAGGTGGTGCAGGACATAGCCGAATATTCGAGCGTATTTGTATGGAGTTAGGACTTAGAATTTTTTAAATCTTTTTCTATGTAGTGTAATAAAGCAGTGAATCCAGACTTAGAACATTTTTCTTTCTGAACAAGCTAGTCAAACCCTCTCCAGAGAGGGTCCTAAATTCTAATTTCTGATTCATAGTACCACTCCCCAAAAGATACCGAGATGAAGGTAAAAGAGTTCACGAATAATTTATGAGTGTACAGTGTAAAAAATAAGATTACAAAATCAAACAATCACTAATCAATAATATTCCTTAAATACATAAAAAAATAAGTAACCTGGGATTGCTCGAGCAGTATTTCCACCACTAAACACTTCACAAACTTTCCTCGAGACGTCTGCTTACTGCAGAGGTTGGATAGCGACTGACTCGAATTACAAAAAAGTGAACGATCGAGTAAGTAATAGAACTTGAATGGGTAAGTGAATCGATGAAGTGAGTTTGCGGATCTGATGTCAGTCGATATTTAATACTTATAAAAAAATAATTTATCTCATAGGAGATCTATCATAGGAGAATTGTTGTTAAAATTATTATAAAACAAGAGCAATTTTATAAATTATCCTAACACAGAACTCGGAGGCGAACTGTAAGGAAATTTGTAGCGATCACAACAGATCAATAAATATCGGTCGCATACTAGGATTTTATTGAACTAGAATAGCCGCTAAAAAAACCGATATAATCATATTTATATGCTGCCCCTTATCTAGGCGCCCCTGGCGACATTGGAGATAGCCGATGTTCGAGAAATTTCTACTCGATACTAGATGGCGCTGTTCGCGAGTATAAATTCCACCGAAAAAGGCGCCACTGTAGTCATTTGGAAACAAGCAAAGCTAGCGAGAAATCAAGCGAAGCGATTTCAAGCGGTGTTTACAACTTCAAGCGATTTGAAGCGATTGTCTACAGATTTCTATTGAAGTTCTCAAGTGTTCAAGTTACCAAGCGCATCAAGATGTCTCTTCTACCATATTTCTTGGACGACTTCGGCTTCCGCCGCCCTCGCCACTTGATGGAGCAGCACTTCGGTCTTGGTCTGACCCCGGACGATCTTCTGAGCGTGGTGGCTGCGCCTGCGATCACCAGAGAATACTACCGGCCGTGGCGACACCTTGCAGCGGTCGCTCGTGACGTAGGATCCAGCATCAAGTCCGAAAAAGACAAGTTGCAGATCACGTTGGACGTTCAGCATTTCGCGCCGGAGGAGATTTCTGTGAAGACTGCGGACGGGTACATTGTGGTGGAAGGCAAACATGAGGAGAAGAAGGATGAACACGGGTACATTTCTCGTTGTTTCACTCGGCGTTACGCGCTGCCCGAAGGAGCTGTACCGGAGACCGTAGAATCCAAACTGTCTTCGGATGGAGTGCTGACCATCACGGCGCCGAAGAAGATTCCAGACGCCATCAAGGGCGAGAGAGCAGTTCCTATCACCCAAACCGGCCCTGTCAGGAAAGAAATCAAGGATCAACAAACCAACGGAACCGAGCAGAAGGAAGAAAAGAAGTAAATTAGTTCGCTCTATTAATTCCGTGAAGAAAAATCTACCGGTTTTTGTTCAGGTGCTATTGTAAGATAAAGTTACTTTTGTATTCGAATTCCAAAGTTTTGGCAGTGCCATTTCGAGACTGATTTTTGTTGCTTATTTTTAAATAAATGAAACAATAATTAAGTATTATTGTAATTTATTTTCTTACCTTCTACATATCTTGTAACCTATAGAAATACATTAAGTACCTACACACAATAATAAATGAAGGTATGTAGGTAGGATAGGTTTTTTCCCATACATAGTAACACCTCCAGCTTCTTGTTATTACACACTGACACAATAATATAGATAGGTAGGTTAAAGGTACCTACGTGTGCTAGGTTAGTAGGTACTCGTAGGTAGTTAGGTACTTACTTAATTAATCTACCTACACCCCAATAGACTGGAAATCTTGCAAATTAATGCCAAACAAATAAGTCTAACCCTAATTTTGGGTCAATTTATGACTAAACATTAGAGTCCCCGCACACGGGTCACCGGTCATTTATTTCCTGTAATTTCCATAGATTTTCTTTGTGGGCGGTCACCGGCGTCAAGTGAGCGGCGAGTCCTTATCACTGATGAGACAGATAGGGTTGCCAACTTTTCTTTCAAAATATAAAGTATACTAGCTTTCCGCCCGCGGCTTCGCCCGCGTGGAATTTTGTCTGTCACAGAAAAACAATATCGCGCGCGTATTTACTCATCGTTTAGACCTGGACTAACTACGACAAACATTTTAAAGTTATAATCAGACTAACGAACATCAATTCATTTTTATTTATATAGATAGATAGATGATAGCTAGCGGCCAGAGGCGGGGCAAGACCTAAATTTGATGTGGGCAAGACAGATTTCGCGAGGCCTTGTTCTGTGGCGACCTGAAGACGGATTTTATGAAATAATAAAAAAAAGGGTCAAAGGTCTATACATTGACAGTTTCTGATTTCTTGATTCAGTGATTATTTAAAGAATAATGTCCGTCACTTAAAACCGTGTTGTTGCTTAATTTTGTGTTTGATTATGGCTGAATTTGTTTGGAAAAAAATATATTTTTATTTTTAACTTCATTGTTTAGCTATCAAGAATTTATATTTAATAGTCAATGTTCGTATTGTGATATTGTCATCTCCACCATGTATACATTTTTTCAAAATTTTTGATGCGCGAGGCCCCTTGTACCGCGAGGCCGTAGGCGGTGGCCCACGTCGCTTACGCCTTACGCCGCCTCTGCTAGCGGCCGCCCGCGACTTCGTACGCGTGGATCCCGTTTTGCCCCCTTCATCTATCTTCAGCGGTTAACTCCCGTTCCCGTAGGAATTTTGCAATATCCTGTTGTGACTAAGCTTTAAGTTTACTAAGGTACCTGCATGCCAAATTTCAAGCGTCTATCTTACGCAGTTTAGATTTTTTCATACATATGTTTTTTCCCGCTAACTCCCGTTCCCGTGGGAATTTCACGATATCCTGTTGTACCTAAGCTTTAAAATTACTAAGGTACCTGCACACCAAATTTCAAGCATCTAACTTAAGCGGTTTAGATTTTTCATACAAAAGGATTTTTCCGCTAATTCCCGTTCCCGTGGGAATTTCGGGAATTCCTTTCTTAGTGCACCTCTACGGTACCTAAACTACGTCCCTTCCAAATTTCAAGTGCCTACGTTTAGCCGTTTAGGCTGTGCGTTGGTCTGTCAGTCAGTCAGTCAGTTTCTCCTTTTATATATTTAGAAGATTAGAGGTCGGAGAAGGAAAACAGACAGTATTAGAAAAAAAACAAACAGTATAGCTCTACAACGCGTACTTAAATGTGGTGTTGGGCATTTACTTTTAAAAATATCTATGGATACTAGTGATGCTAGCTGAAAACAGTATTTTGTATACTTTATTTTTGTTCAACAGTAAAAAGTATAATTTAGTGAAAAACAGTATAATACTGTTCAAAACAGTATAGTTGGCAACCCTAGAGACAGAGACCTTATTCTATTATATGAAAATATAATAATAAATAAATAGGAAAGAAAACATGCCTGGCGTTGTTTTGTGGTTGCGGTCAGTGGCCCGTGTGTCCCTTTTTTTTGTCGCGGAGTAAATTTAATGCTTTGCGCACCGTCACCACTGCCGGGGGATAGGGTGGTGTGTGGGACTCTCGGCTCAGGGCGCTGCTCCGTCCTGAAAAGGACGGGATATACCCACTAAAACTTCCGCGGCGTTCCGTCATCGCCCGAGTGGGGGTGTCGCGAGTATCCAGCCGTAGCCTTAGGCTTGCTATACACGGACAGCTTGAAGCTGTCGGATACTAGCTGCTTCAAACTGTCTGTGTATGGCGGGCCTTGGACTTCCGCGACAAGCCCGTGTGTCACTACCCTTAATTATATTATCCATGCTCAGAATCACATTTAAAACAAGTATTAAATTGTACGAGTGTAAGTAGGTAGGCATAAAGGGTAGAAAGTACATTATTATAGGTACGAGAATTATAATGGAGACTGGGCACTTTTCTATGAATAGTGGTGTAACTATCATAATGCACATTTATGTAGAGAACTAGGGTTTTTTCGCAAAAAAAAAAGGATTTTGTGGGCTAGAAGTATGTATGTTTTAGATTTTTTTGTTCTAATGAAACACTTTTTATACGAACCTCTTTATTTAGCTACAACAAAATGAAGAGCCGTCACATGACGTAAATAATACCATATATTTAATGCTATTATATGTAATGGTGTATAAAACAATTTCTTTAGAAGCTCAGTTACGCATATCACTACTGTGCTGTGTATTCACAATATATTTTTACTTTAATTTCAATATCGGTTTGGAAGGTCTATACAAAAGCTTATTTGAAAACGTAGTTAAGGCAGAGAGTTGCAAAGTATCAAAATATTTTTTCTTCAGAAGTATTATTACCTATATTTTTATGTACACGGAATAAAATTATATAAAAAGGTATTTTGAAAATATTAAGAAGGGATGAAAAAATATGATTCAAGTTAAGTAATGTTTCTCCCAAACCGGTATTAAAGAAACCCTACTATTTAAAGTATTGCTATACATTGATACTACTAAAATCTGTCGCCAGACATTTTTTCTAACACACAACAATTTTATTTTCATAAAAGCGACTGTTGAACAACTGTTACTGATACCTTAAGAGTTAAAACAAAGAATATTTCATTTATTTATGTATGAAACATTAACATGAATTATAATAATTTGCTGCGAAAATATTGTAAACATCTAACGAGAAAAAATATAACAAAATAAACATTTAAAAAAATATCAATTTTATAGTTGACACGACCTATCAATTTGAAATAACATTTTTATATATTTTTTTAGCTGTAATTCTACCTTGGCTTTGTAAGGCAGTAGGCACCAATAACTAAACTCTGTCACTATTTTGCGAAATTGAAAACTTTGTGGTTGGTAGACCTAAAGTTGGGTGTTTTTTTAAGTTATGACTTGGAATTATTGGTAAATGGTGTCAACTATCCAAATCTACCTAGGAAAGATCTACCTAATTGATCTCATTGTTGAAATGATAATAATTCCCTAGTTTTAGAAGTGCAATATTTATTTATTTTATACATAAGAATTATTTTCTTAAACCAGTTTCTCTGCTTGTTAAACGACTTTATAACTATTTTCCTATAATTTATTTACATGGAAGGCATGTGGCAAGTGCACGAATACATATTTTTTTATTTATTTTTCATATATTATTTAATGTACTGAGTAAAAGGACGTCCTTCACAATGAACCATTCAGTTTTCTAATCTATAAATTCAAAATTTAACATCGTAAAAATGAAGAACCAATTTTACATATACATTTTCTTTTTTTATATAAAACTTTAGCAAATACAAAAGAAGTTCTTTTCGTCACACCTACAACAGAAACAATTTAGAAAAATTATTTCCTATTTTCTTTTATAAATTTATTTTAGATATATCTACGTTCCTAACTCTATGCTACATAAAGATGTACGCTCATATTTTTGCTTTGCAACATCTAATGCTAGAGATACGATAGGTACAAAATTGAGCTTTATTGATATGTATCGTTAGAATCACCTTTGCGAAGTAAGTATTCGTTTTTAGCTTTTTTTTTTTTTAAATTTCGAAGCAAACAATTATTGCCTGTGCTAAATTTAGTTACATAGTGTTAAGGCTCTCACAAATATACTCAAAATTCGCCACAAATAAAAATCGTTTTAAACGCTAAGCAAGCAGTAAATAGATGAAAAGTCCAATACATAATAAAATTACATTACACAATATTTAAACACAATAACATAGATAACATTAATGATAAAAAAGATTTAGATTTCAACAAATATTTTAGAATAGATGATTGAAAATTTAACTAACTTGAAGAATTTAAAACGTATGTTTAATTGGGCACAAAATACAATATGCCATCAAAACAACAACTAAAAGCCATAATTTGATCTATTTAACATGACATAATCATGATTATGTTGATATGTCTAAATTGGCTAAGTAATTAAAAAGGCATAAAACTTTCTGAATTTTCACTAGAGTATTTCTCAAAAAAAATGTACATTTTGAAAAAAAAAAGTGTGCTTTGAAACAGTTCAAAAGTTTTATATTTATAAATCATCACACAAAAAAAACACACACACAATTTTGAAGGATGAATATTAATCTTTAAGATAACGAAGAATTATAGCTATAATCCTACTTATTACCAAATATTTAAATATTTTAAAAATAGTCCTTTTTTACCTTTCATACAAAAACCTGTTTGCCACCCTAGCTTTTTCATGTATTTTTGTTTCATAAAATGCGATACGTAACTAAATTATTGTAAATTTCTTTGTATTATCGTTCTACAGTAATCGCAGTTTCTGTATCAAATTGATTTTCTATGGGGTGTCATAATGAATTGGCAATTTAAAGCAAAAAAACAAAATGAGTCGCTCTCATTTACTATTTCGTTATTTACTCTTTAGTTACGATTTATTTCTACTTTCCCATGGTTTCTGAACAATTCCGTATTTATTTTACACGGACAACAATAGCTGCACTCTGAATGGCTGTTGGCCTGACGTCTCCGCCATAACATCTATCGCGAAAATTAGTGAAAACGTGTGTGTTTTGTGGGATTACTTTTTCGTAACAGGCAGTAAAATCAGCGATTTTATATAGAACGGTAAGTCTTCATTTAACCATTTTTTGTAATACGTGTGGTACGAACATTTAGTAAGCTTTTATATTTGCTGTAACAAATTTTATCAAAAAAATACTTGTTTCTGATCTCATTTTGTCTAATATTTTGTTACGTTTTTTACGAATTTCGTTACGTTACGAAAAAGTACAACATAATGCTGAGTGTATACTGTTATTACCTGACTAAGCATAGTAATATTCACTACTTAATTTATTTCAAAAAATATAGAGCGTTAATAACAAAAGGATTGGATACTATCTGCTTTACAGAAGTGCCACCAGCAAAAAATTATCAAATCATTTAGATTACGTTTTTATGTGATTACTTCTTGTTTTTTTAGGAATGCCGCCAAAAACCAATGCCGAAAGGCAAAAAGCTTACAGAGAACGACTCAAAATGGATAAACATGATGGAACAAAAATAATTTTATTAAAATAGTATGAATGATTACTCCCTTATTTTATTTCTAACCCCTTAATATTACCCCGTATTTGGGTGCATACTTACAAATATTTCGAATTGAATAAATGAAGAGCATTCACAATATTTCGCCAGTGTATAACAAGCCTTATGGCCTTACTATTTCGTTACTACCGTTTCGTTACGTACATTTTTTTTGAGAAATACTCCTATAACAAAAAGGACACAGTTTTGTTAGCCATCTATCCAGAAGAAATAAAATTTTAGTAACTAGTAGTTTATTTTCAAATATAATGGCCTTTAATTAAAATACGCCATGTTTTTTTTTCCATGATACATAAATTAATTAAATAAAAAAATAGCCAGGGATAGCTATTTCAGCCAAACGTAAACAAATTTATTAAAAATTAATATCTAGTATTCTAGTTGATTAAAAAAAAATCTTCTTGCGATCGACTGGCCATAAGGCCATTAGCTATCCCTGAAATATAAATAAATATTATCTTATATTTATTTATTTATTATTGCACAAATTGTTATTAATATTACTAATAAATATAACTTTGAATAAATAAACTTATTTAACTATAGTTTTATTTCATGATCATAAATAAATAATTGTGTGCAATTTATATTAGTGGATTTATTACGAGTTTCATATTTTTATACTAAATAATGTAGATGTAATATAAAGATGAAGGTGTAGGTATTCCTCAAAAAAGTTCCTACATACTCTGCGTTCAATTTATAGAACTACTAGCTGACCCGGCGAACTTTGTTCCGCCTTAATGGCAATAAATAACGGAATAAAAAGTATCCTATGTCCTTCTCCTGGCTCTAAACTACCTCCCTGACAATTTTCAGCTAAATCGGTTCAGCCGTTCTTGAGTTATAAGTGGAGTAACTAACACGACTTTCTTTTATATAATAGATAGAAGATATAAATTTAATAAAAACAACGAGTCAATATTGATATAAACTAAAATAGTTGTAATAAAAGTGTGACTAATGTATATTATAATTTCATTTTAAATACTTAAATAGATGGAAAGTGATATGTAAACGTTCAATATAAGACTTTATCACAGAATACATACAACAATACCTACAATATTTTTATTATACTTAATATGTGATATGTGTGTTTTTGAACCGTGAAGGTATTATTTAAGTGTAACTTATAAAAAGAACTTAACTCTAATTATCTATTTGAAACAAAAATCTTTCAGTGAACGATAGTAGTGACTTGTGATTTTATCTTTTATTTATCATTTTAAAAACTTAAAATTCCACGCGTGTTTTTTGTTCTCTAAAAATATTTTTTGATTCAAAAAATCGATTTTGCAATCCATGATTCCAAAAAAGTTACTATTTAACGGATTTTGTAAAAAAAAAGTAACTCATTTCAATGCCAATATTAAGAAAACAAAAAAAAAAAGAAATAACATCAATTTAAAAAGTAGAGAACAAGATATAGTCACTTTTTACATAGTGTCCTAACCGTAGCTTCAGTTACTACCACCACTAGGATTTAAAACTCTTTAGAACACAAGAATCTATTTCTACTTCAAATTAAAGCTTCTTGTTTTACCATTTTTAACACGTTACATTATTTCTAATCGTGTAATGTCCCAGAAATACATTTATAAGTGTCTTCTACAAATCGTTAGTGCAGTGACGGACAAAGAAAACATTTTGGAAAAAAAATCTCATAATATGATAAAAAGATATATTATATCTTTGATATTTTTAACTTTTTTTTATCAATTGTTGCATGTTTTATAGTATTTTTTGTATTTCTGATTCTAGTTGAAATAGCTATATGTAAAATAATAATTTAATTTATGCAACGTTAGCTTTATATGTTTTTTATTTATTTTCTTGTTTTACGTCATAATAATTTGTGTTCCACTAGCTTTTGCCCGCGGCTTCACCCGCGTGAAATTTAGTTTGTCACAGATCGTCATAAATTATGGCCTATATGTTATTCTGGGTTTTAAAGAATAATACTGTAAAGTTTCATCAAAATTCGTTCAGTAGTTTTTGCGTGAAAGAGTAACAAACATCCATGCAGACATCCAAACTTTCGCATTTATAATTTTAGTAGGATTAGTTTAAATTTTTTGTTTATCCTTGACGGGTTACCACAACATTACAACATTATCTAATATTTTTTATATTTTTCCAATTTCTGCCCGTCACTGTACATTATAAAGGTGCTTACACATTGATGGATATACGATTTCCTAAATACAGTCTAACAGAAAGGCAATCTACTTCAGACGACTACAACTTACTGTAAGAGAAATAAAAGGATAACTTGTTTCTGCTATAGATCCCGACTTCTTAATATTTAGTTATTTTAACTTTAAAAATATTCAACAGTTAACGTTCATTCATTTTATATTATTAAAAAGATTTTAATGTTTGTGCAATATTTATTTTTACTTGCAAAAATAATTAAATTGTAATAATGATGATATTTCTCGATCTGTGTAGTGTTTTAATAAGTTTTTGCTTTTCTACCACTATTAATATTTTTTCTATAAAATCCTGAATGCAGAACATCTCAAAAAATTCAAATCGTGTCTATAGCAGATAACTATTGTATATTAACAAAAATTTACCAGTGTAAAAGGCGTACACTTATTTACAAAACCCAGCCTTTAAGATCCACCTACAAAGCACCAGTCTAAGTCGGAAACAAACCAAATATATTAACTATGATATGTTTAGTTCATAATCTTCAGTCTTCAAACTACTACTAATTTCAGACCTAGGCTATCGGACTCAAGTTCAACTCTAGAAGAGGACGCTCTCTCAACAAAGAAATAAAAAAGCAGTACAGTAATAGTACATCCAATCTCATAGTACACGTCTCTAGAAAAATATTTAAGTATAATTGCATCAGCAACAAGTTTTTTAAAATTATCAAATATTGTAATATTCACAGCTTTTATGATATGTATCATTTCCTTATAAATATTTACATCTAGATCACTTACATCTACTTTAACTTCGGTGATAGTTTCGTTTTGTGCATTTACATAAGCGTGTGCATCGTGCGATGTTTGTACATATATAATTTCAGTAAATTCTTCGTTCAAAATAGATAGAAAGTTCAAAATATTATATCTCTCGTTAAAGAAAGGAACGACGTTCGAAGTTGTTATATAATCGAATAAATTCGATATAAAATTGACGATTTTGTCGGCGGGGATGATGAATTCGAGGTTGTATAGGATGGTGATGAGGATGATGAAGAGGTAAATGAGGCTTTGAGGCCGATGGCTGGTGATGGCCGAGCTAGGGGGTGCGGGGTAGACCACGTCCACTTCAGCGATCTTGAAGATAGAGAGAAGCAGGTGGGAGGAGATATCTTCATGTTGGGTGTTGATCCTCGTCTTGACCTCTTTCAAGACGTCAATACATTCCTCCTGAGAAAGAATGAGACATGAAGTTATCTTAAAAATAGTCTTTGGACAAAAAAAAATCTTTGGACAATTTCACACAGCGCCAGCTAGCCCTAAAGTAAGCAACTTAATGCTTGTGTTATGGGTGCTAGCTTAACGGATATACTACTTATATACTTTTTTTTTAATACATACATATTATACATAGTAACATCCAGACCCGTCACAGATATTAAAATTCATCATTTAAATTTCTGCCCGGCCGGGAATCGAACCCGGGACCTCTCGGCATAGTAGTCCGCTCTGAACCACTACACCAAACGGCCGACATAGTGGGCAAACCATTTTGGATGGAGCTCTAGAGTCTAGACATGGAAACAACAAAAAGAAAAAATACCCAAATAGGTTGTCTCTCAAGAAATTAAACAATTAAATAATACCTTCTCCCGATCCAGTAAAGCTTCGCCAGCCTCCCGGAGGGACTCCTGTTCCCTCTGTGGGACGCTCGCCGATATGATCACGTTCTCGTTGCTGATGTTGAACAGGGTCAGAGTGCAGTTCGTCTGGAAATGTACCTATACGGTAAAATATGAGAATGTTTGTATGTATCGTCACTTCATCACGCTTTATTGCTGAACATCCAATGATTTTCATATAGGCCGGTTTGTAGTGGCTTGTATCTTGTAACCAGCGTCTTCCTGGAACCTTTATAAGATCATCATTCTGTCCACCTTGTAGGTGGACGTCCCACGCTACACTAGTCAGAACTTTGCCTCTGTTTCAGAGCCATGATGCCCCACCGGCCGTAAGTTCTGCGTGATATTAGGTATGTGCCCTGCCTGTGGACATTCATTACACGCTGCGCTTCCTGATCTCCGTTCCAGTAGAAACTTACTCGAAAAACGCTATCCAAAAATTCGAATGTTGTCATCCCTAGCACGCAAACCGAGATGTTAGCAAGAGCGACGGTGTCAGATAGACCCGAAACTACTAAAATAGCATTTCTGAGTAGGCTTGCAGAACCTTGCTACTCTATCGGCCGTCAGTTCTGCGTAATTGTGGTTTTCTTTCTAAAACTACTGACCCCATCATTGTGCACAGTATACAGGTACTGCTGGAGTAGACGGACAGCATCTTCAGCGCCGAGCCCGGTGTGAGGGCGCAGCAACGCCTCGTCGACCGCGCTGAAACCTAGCAGCAAGTACACGCCTTCGGGCAGCTTGTATTCACCTGGAAACCAATTATGTCACTATAAAAGCTCGTATCTTGAAAGGAATCACCAAACTCAAGAACAGTCTTTCCTGAACACTATAATCCGGGCGTTTTCAAGGCGAGAGTGAATAGGCACTTACAGGGCAGATATGTACCATCCTAGACTGCATCTCACTTAACACCAGGTGCGATTGCGGTCAAATACCTGCCTTGGCTAGCATAAAAAAAAAAAAAAAACAGATTTAAGGAAGTGAAAGAAAGGAAAGCGACAATAGCCCATCGGTGTCAGTATCTTGTCTAGTCATTGTGGATTGTCGGTAGTTGAAACCCGTCCGCAGACTATTGTGGTAAACCCCCTCCTAAGGCAAACGGTTAGCTGGAGGGGTTAACACGGTGTACAAGCCACAGGTGAACGGGCATCTAGTAGACAGTTTCACTCCACGCACTCCCCTTGTAGGTAGACAGCATCTACACTTCCAAAGTAAGAAAAGGAAACTTAATTAAGAAAGAAAAGGTATCCTATAAAAAGAAACATTTCAGTTACCAGGATTCGGCCTCATGCAGACAAAGGATTCAGAGTAGCAATAGCACCGACCCCTGCCTGTACGCTTGATACGCCGGCGCGACGTGCAAGTAGTGGAAAAATAAGAACAGTTCACTTATGAGTAAAACAAATCAGTTTGCTTACCAGGATTGGGCCTCATGCAGATAAACGATCCAGAGTAGCAGTAGCAACGCCCTCTATACGCCTGGTACGCCGGCGCAGCGTGCGAGTAGTGGGCAAGTCGGGACGAGCAGGGTGCTCGGGGGACGCAGGCCACCTTACAGGATACTTGAAGCGACGCCTCGCAGACACACAGGTCTGTGCATTCCGCCAGCTCTGCCGAGCGGTACAGCTGGAATTGTGATGTTTTGGTTATAAGATTAAAGGTCTAAAGGTCTCTACTGTTGTTGCTTTCTGTCAACTAGATGATTTATTGCTGGACTAAGGCCTTCCCTCAGGATTCACAAGTGTTTAAAATTGATGATTACGAGTTTGAGCAATATTTTTGATGTCGAAAATGTTTAAGAGAAAATCGTATATTTTTCAGCTTTACGAACTGATGGCCGCTGGGGCAGGAAAGTTCTTGAGTGGCGACCACGAGCCGGAAGACGTAGCGTGGGCAGGCCTCCCACTAGGTGGACCGACGATCTGGTGAAGGTTGCGGGAGGTGCCTGGATGCGAGAGGCGCAGGATCGGTCTTCATGGAAATCCTTGGGGGAGGCCTTTGTCCAGCAGTGGACGTTTTTCGGCTGAAACGACGACGACGACGTATATTTTTACCCGACTGCGCCAGAAGGAGGGTGTTGGATTTCNCGATATAAAATTGACGATTTTGTCGGCGGGGATGATGAATTCGACGTTGTATAGGATGGTGATGAGGATGATGAAGAGGTAAATGAGGCTTTGAGGCCGATGGCTGGTGATGGCCGAGCTAGGGGGTGCGGGGTAGACCACGTCCACTTCAGCGATCTTGAAGATAGAGAGAAGTAGGTGAGAGGAGATATCTTCGTGTTGGGTGTTGATCCTGGTCTTGACCTCTTTCAGGACGTCAATACATTCCTCCTGAGAAAGAATGAGACATGAAATTATACAAATAGTATAATGATTTTGGATGGAGCTCTTGACAATGTAGACATGGAAAAGAAAAAAGAAAAATACCTAGATAGGTCTCTTAAGAAATTAAATACCTTCTCCCGATCCAGTAAAGCCTCGCCAGCCTCCCGTAGGGACTCCTGTTCCCTCTGCGGGACGCTCGCCGAGATGATCACGTTCTCGTTGCTGATGTTGAACAGGGTCAGAGTGCAGTTTGTCTGGAAATTAATACGGTCAAATATGAGAAGAGATGAATGGTTGTATGTATCGTTACTTCATCACGCTTTATTGCTGAACATCCAATGATTTTCATATAGGCCGGTTTGTAGTGGCTTGTATCTTGTAACCAGCGTCTTCCTGGAACCTTTATAATTTATAATATATCTGTCCACCTTGTGGGTGGACGTTCCACGCTACACTAGTCAGTACATTGCCTCCATTCCAGATGCCCCACCGACCATAAATTCTGCGTGATATGTGCCCTGCCTGTAATTTTGGCTGTTTGGTGGACATTACACACTGCGCTTGCTTGTACCTAACATCCGTTCCAGCAGAAACTTACTCCGAATAACGTTAAATGTTGTCATCCCACTCACGCAAACCGAGATGTTAGCATGAGCAACGGTGTCAGACAGACCCGAAAGAAACATTTCGGAGTAGACCTGCAGAACTTTGGTACTCTATCGGCCGTCAGTTCTGCGTAATTGTGGTTTTCTTTCTAAAACTACTGACCCCATCATTGTGCACAGTATACAGATACTGCTGGAGTAGACGGACAGCATCTTCAGCGCCGAGCCCGGTGTGCGGACGCAGCAAAGCCTCGTCTACCGCGCTGAAGCCCAGCAGTAAGTACACGCCTTCGGGCAGCTTGTATTCACCTGGAAACCAATTATGTCACTATAAAAGCTCGTATCTTGGAAGAAATCACCAAACTCAAGAACAGATTTAAGACTGGAAAAATTAAGAAGCGTTGAGACCCGTGTTCTTCTATTCAGACTTAAGAAAGTTAAAGAATGGAAGGCGACGATTAAATATAGCCCATCGGTGTCAGTATCGAACTGCCGATTACATTGTGGATTGTGCTCCGCAGATTATTGTGGTAAACCCACTTCTAACGCATACATTTTTTTTTATGCAGGGCAAGGCAGGTATTTGACCGCGGTCGTACCTGGTGTTGAGTAAGATGCAGTCTAGGATGGTACATATCTGCCCTGTAAGTGCCTATTCACTCTCGCCTTGAAAAGGCCCGGATTATAGTGTTCAGGAAAAACAGCAGCAGACAGCGTATTCCATTCCATATAATATTTAACTTAGCTGGAGGGGTTAACAGGATGTGAAGTCACCGGTGAATGGGCATCTCGTAGGCAGGTTCGCTCCACTTTGAGATAGCATCTGCATTCCCCGAGTAAAAAAGGCAACTTAATTAAGAAAGAAAAGGTATCCTATGAAAAGAAACATTTCATTTACCAGGATTCGGCCTCATGCAGACAAAGGATCCAGAGTAGCAATAGCACCGACCCCTGCCTGTACGCTTGATACGCCGGCGCGACGTGCAATTAGTGAAAAAATAAGAACAGTTCGCATATGAGTAAAACAAATCAGTTCACTTACCAGGATTGGGCCTCATGCAGATAAAGGATCTAGAATAGCAGTAGCAGCGCCCTCTATATGCTTGATACGCCGGCGTGACGTGCAAGTAGTGGAAAAATAAGAACAGTTCGCTTATGAGTAAAACAAATCAGTTTACTCACCAGGATTGGGCCTCATGCAGATAAACGACCCAGAATAGCAGTAGCAACGACCCCTGTATGCTTGATACGCCGGCGCAGCGTGCGAGTAGTGGGCAAGTCGGGACGAGCAAGGCGCTCGGGGGACGCAGGCCACCTTACAGGATACTTGAAGCGACGCCTCGCAGACGCACAGGTCTGTGCATTCGGCCAGCTCCGCAGAACGGTACAGCTGGAATTGTGATGTTTTGGTTATAAGATTAAAGGTCTAAAACTGTTGCTATATTTTTGTCAACTAGATGATCTACTGCTGAACTAAGGCCTTCCCTCAGGATTCACAAGTGTTTAAAATTGATAATTATGTGTTTGTTTTTCGAGTGTATGTATTCTATGTATGTATATTTTTCGAGTGTAAATACTCTCTAAAAAAACAATAAGTAAATCTTTAAAATCTTGTTGGTGTAGCTATTGTACAGACGATGGCACATCAAATTGAGCAGTGGCATTTTAAGTAGTTGTACTGGTGCTAATTTCACAACAAAACCGTATGGTCTGATGCTGTACCCAATTATCGATGATATATACGTACCCGTCTCGTTTCCCCCATCTTGATATACTGCGCCTGATCATCACTCTCCGGCTTCTTCACGATGCAGTACTTCGTTGGCTCAAGCGTTGTCGTGGGCCTTGTCGTAGTCGTCGTCGTGGTCGTCGTACGAGTGGTAGTGGTCGTCGCGCGAGTCGTGGTCGTGGTCGCGACCGTTGTGGTCTCGGTGGTGGTTTCTACGATAGGCTCGGAGATTTGCTGACTCTTTGGTTCCGCAGTTTGCTCGGATTGGGTAGTGCTGGGCGGCTCGCGGTTGTCCTGCTTTGGAGAATAGATTTATGAAACAACTAGTAGGCCCAGGGAACTACTTCGTACCGCCCATATTTTTTTCTTTGATAGGTACAAACAGTTTCCTCCCCGTTTAAACCTTCCCTGGACTACAACAATAATTTCAAAACCAAAATCAGCCGAATCGGTCCAGTTCTGAGTATGAAATGCGGTTTTCGAAAAGTCTGGTTTTTGATTAGTGAAGTTTTCGAAAGTTAGGGTTCCTAAACGCGTTGCTTTTCGAAATGTTTCGTTTGTTCAGGTTTCCTTCTAAGTTAGGTTTTTGAAGGTTAAGTTTTTATGCATGACAAGGCAGGTATTTGAGCACAATCCCACCTGGTGTTAAACGAGATGCAGTCCAGGATGTTAAGGTTTTTGAAAGGTGTTGGTCTTTTAAAGTTGAGTTTTTCGNAACTAGAGGGTTGCCCACCGCGGTGTTGGACCAAAGTCCAGCCTACGGCGGGCTCACTCTAGTGGGCCCGATCGAGGGGACTACGGACGCGGCCTGAGGGCGCCACGGTAGGCTCGGACCTCGGCTCAGGCCGTGTCCGGGGGACGGATAGGGGTTTCGCGCTGTCACCCGCGAGGCGAGGCGTTTACGTTACGGTGCGGATAAGTGTGCGTTGCAGTATGGAGTTTCATACAAAGAATACTGACCGCATCGAGTTGATACGGTTACGATCCCTTTCCGGGTTGATTAGTGTGACAATAGTGAATGAGTTTCTTGCGCTGCTTCTTCTCAGCACTGGCCCATTTATTGTCCTGAAGCAGACTCAGTGGTAGAGTTAATACTGGGACGTGTAAAAGTGCTTTTTAAAAGCCTACTTGCATAAATAAATTAGTTTTATGAGTTTCTTTAAATTCTTTATCCGTACGACCGCATTTCGTGTGATGCAATTTAAACTCTAAAGAACTTTTATGTAGTCACTAGCTGACCCGGCGAACTTTGTTCCGCCTTAATGGCAATAAATAAGCAGACTTTTTTTTTAATTTCGAACGGGATAAAAAGTATCCTATGTCCTTCTCCTGGCTCTAAACTACCTCCCGGACAATTTTCAGCTAAATCGGTTCAGCCGTTCTTGAGTTATAAGCGAAGTAACTAACACGACTTTCTTTTATTTTGTAAACGTTTGTGAGGCACGTACAATGAAACACAGGGCTGAGCAATGACTGATTTAATTCTATAAGATGCGGGTGAAAGCACATAACAAAATATTGACATTAGTTATCAAACTACCTGACATCATCCTTCCAAGGAAACATAATTATTGATGTTTTTCACTAGTAGGTACCTATTAAGCATGCAATATCTTTTATATTTAGCTTATGACATTTCTTTGTTTAATTATTACTAAAAATAATTAACTCATGCAATATACATAATAATTAAAATTATGAGTATTTGATTGTATTCATAATAAATACAATGTATTATAGACGTAAAATAGATTAAATATAATAATAATGAGTTGATCTTACTTAAGGCCTATAATAGGTATCTAATTAGGTATCTACCTGCACTATCATTAGATTATATTAAATTACAGTGTATTTTCAGTATTCTCAATCTTTCAAACAATTATAACCTACAGTATGTATACAAATTCAATTAGCTATTATTTGATAATTTTATAACATACTTAAATTACCACATCATAATCCTCAACAAGTTTTACACACCTTTAATAAAGTTGGATAAATATTTTAGTATTAATATATTAATTAAATCCTTTTAACATTAAATCAGATGGTGCGTTATATGTTAAGTTTAAATAGACATTTTATTATATTTATTATAACCAATACAATTCACGATATTTAATTATCAAATGTGTAAATATTAATACATTATTGAAGATTAAAAATTTCTATGAAATTATAATATTAAACATTGAAATAGGCATTTTATTATATTTATTATAACCAAAACTATTCACGATATTTGATTATCAAATGTGTAAATATTAAGATTAGTTAAATACATTATTAAAATTAAAAATTTTATGAAATTATAATATTAAACATTGTCTGTTTAGTTTAAATTACACAGATGCAGATTGAAGTCTTGTTTCACATCAGGATCCCAATTTATTCGGTGGCCTCACTGTCCTGCCGAAACGAGTAACATATTGATTAGGCACATTTCTATTATCTGCATTACGTTGCGGTTCGGAGGAACAGGTGACTGCAATGTCGTCGTAATCAAAGTTACATGTTTTGTTTTCTATCGCGGTCTCTTGATCCCGCGTGTCTAAACGGATGTGTCTACGGTTTCTTTTAGTAGTGCGTCCATTTGAATATTTTATTTCATATGAACGATCGCCTAAGATGCGTGATATTATTCCTGAAACCCACACATTTTTTATTACATTTAGAAATTTAACTTTTTGCCCAACAGATAACTTCGACAATTTTCTAAAACTTTTATCATAATACAGCTTTTGGTTAGATTGTCGTTTTAATAGATTATTTTTTACATTTCTTTGTATTTTAGGTTTTAGTAACTTGTTACTGAGTGGAATGATGCCGCGTAACTTCCTACTTTGTAGTAACTCTGCAGGAGAAGCCAAGTCTGTACTCAATGGAGTATTTAAGCACTCCAACAAAGCAAGGCGGTAGTCGGTACCATCCTCAATACTCTTAATCATAATATTTTTTACTGTTTGTATGGTCCGCTCAATCTGTCCATTGGACTGCGGATAATATGGAGAAGAGGTTATGTGACGGAACTGCCAAGTTTTTGCAAATTCTTTAAATTTAAAACATGAAAATTGAGGACCACAATCAGACATTACTATGTTAGGTATACCCTGACGACTAAATATATTTTTCAACGACTTTACGACTGTTTCAGCTGTAGTAGACTGCAGTTCAACTATTTCAAAATATTTGCTGTAATAATCTACCAGTAATAAATAATCCAGGCCTTTTAGTTGAAATAAGTCAACGCCTACCTTAGCCCAAGGCCTATCGGGAATTTCATGCGACTGTAATTCTTCCTTTTGATTATTTTTTCTATGCGACAGGCACACGTCACAATTTGATATGAGATTAATTAAATCTTTATTGATATGCGGCCAGAACACTGATTCCCTAGCTCTTAGCTTACATTTGTCTAAACCCATATGTCCTAAATGTATTTTATTTAGCATTTCTTTCCGCAACGACCTTGGAATAACGACCCGGTCGTCCTTCCAGATTAAACCGTAAGCTGTTGAAAGACTTTCTTTATATGTACAATAAGGTCTAACTACCTCAACTACCTTGTTGTTTTCTATGGGCCAGCCATGCAATATATACTTTTTTAACTGAACAAGTTCATCATCAATTTCCGTATATTTTTGAATGTTTATAAATTGCTCATCCGAGATATATTGTGACGTAACGCGGGCCGCGTGCTGGACCACTGCGCATACTTCATCAAGCTCGCGACTCGAGCTCGTACCATCGCCGCGTGCGGCGGCCGACTGACTCATCACCGCGCACGGCTCATAGGCACGAGATAATGCATCTGCTATGTATAGATGTTTGCCTGGCTTGTATATTAATCTAAACGAATAGCGTTGTAATCGCAGCAACATTTTTTGTAAGCGTAAGGGTGCATCTACAATTGGCTTTTTAAATATGCTTATTAGAGGTTTGTGATCCGTTTCAATGGTAACATCCTCGCGACCATATATGTAAGGATTAAAACGTTCGCAGGCAAACAGACAGGCGTATAACTCCTTTTCTATTTGTGCGTATCTTTGCTCCGTAGTAGTTAACGATTTCGAGGCGTAACACACTGGTAAATTATTTTGCATTAAACACGCACCTAATCCTGTTTTGCTGGCGTCCACTGACAATACTATTGGTGTTTTCAAACAGTAATACTGAAGCACGGGCCGTGTTATTAGACATGCCTTTAAATCCTGCACACATTTCTCATGTCTTTCATCCCAGTGCCATTCTGTCTCTTTCCTAAGTAATTCTCTTAGAGGCAATGTTTTATCCGATAAGTTAGGTATAAATGAACCTACATATGTTACTAAGCCTAACAGTCTCTCAACATCTTTTTTATTTTTAGGTATTGGCATATTTGTGATTGCTGTAAGATGTGAATCTTCAGGATATAATCCGTTCTTAGAAATTCTATGTCCTAGATATTTTATTTCTTCCAACCCGAATTTACATTTATCTTTGTTTAGTTTTAAATTAATTTTCCGACATCGTTCTAGAACTTGCTTTAATCGTTCATCGTGCTGGGCCCTAGTGTTGCCATATACCAACAAATCGTCTATATACATACATACACCTTCTAAATCATCGAAATTTTCGACCATTTTTTTATGAAATACTTCTGAGGCTGAGCAGATACCATAGGGCATTCTTAAAAATTTGTACCTACCAAATGGCGTGTTAAAAGTACACAGTGAACTGCTATTATCTAAAGCTACCTGCCAGAACCCTGCACTTGCATCCAGTGTGCTGAAGTATTTGGCACCAGATAACTTACTTAAGATTTCATCAAGTGTGGGCAATCTAAAGTGTTCGCGTTTGATAGCATTATTTAATTCTTTGGGGTCTAGGCATATTCTCAAATCACCATTTGCCTTTTTTACTACGGTTATACTACTCACCCATTCCGACGGGCCTTCTACTTTCGCAATAATATTTTGAGCTTCCATTTCTAACAACTTTTTCTTAACATCATCCCTTATTGCAAATGGTAACTTTCGTGGCGCGTGTATGACCGGTTCCACTTCATTTTTTAACTTTATGCTATAATATCCGGGTAAACAGCCTATACCCTCAAAAACATCCTGATATGAGTCTAAGAACACTGGAACACTATTAGATGATTTTATCGACATGACACGCTGTAATAAATTTAGTTCAAGACAACTATGTTTACTTAAAATTGGGCAAGATTGGACATCAGCTATTTTGAATTCCAGTACATACATGGTTTCTTTATAATAAACTCTAAGATGTATTTTCCCTAATACATGTATGGTTTCACCTGAGTATGAACTTAACTTTGTATTACTTTTAATCAATTGATTCTTGGACACGCCTATTTGTGATAAGTAATACAAAGGCAAAACATTTACATCTGCACCAGAATCCAATTTAAAACGCACCAATTTATTATTAATTTTTAAAATAGCACTCCAATAATCTACACGTTTATCAATAAAATTGTTTACCTGTTCCTCGGACTCCACACAATAAACATTTGACTCATAATTACAGACACGAGCAAAATGGTTCATTTTCAGGCACCGTAGGCACTTTTTTCCGTAAGCCGGGCATTTATATTGTCCATGTACACCTCCACATCGCGTGCAGTTGGCTTTTTCACGTCGTACCGCTGCTCCTTGCGCCGACGCCCGCGACGCCGACGACGGTCCCGCTGCTCCGCGGGCCGCCAGCTGATGTTGCATGTGTGGGCGGCCTCGAGCTCGGGTCCCTCGGCGTGAGATCAAAGCATTGACCTCTCTCTGTTCATCTTCAGGATATTCACAATTTCTCGATACCGCCATTCTCATACCGTTGTTTTTGTTGTATTTTATTTCGTGAACGTATTCTTGTTTTATATTTTCTGAGTATAATCTTGACACGGTGGCTATTCGGCAAATCTCTTGTGCTTTATCTAAGTTTAACTTTTCTTCCCGCAATAATCTTTCTCTTATTCCAGCATCGTTCACGCCACATACCAACCGATCTTTTATCAAATCTTCCATCAAATCGTTGAAATCGCAAGATTGTGCCAGTTTCCTTAGTTCATATATGTATTGATCAATCGATTCGTTTTCCATTTGGCCTCTTGTGAAGAACTTATGTCTTTCGACCGTTACATTTTTCTTCACTTTAAAATGGTCGTCCAAAATGTCGATGACTTGCTGCTGCGTATTGTATTTTTTGTTGGACTGATCTACGACTTCTCGACACTGTTCGCCAATTACGTGCAATAATATGTTTATTTGTATCTCAGGGCTTTTTTCCTTTAGCTGACACGCTTTGAAATAAATTTCAAAACCGTTTTTCCAACGTATCCAGTCTGCATTTCTTCCTGAAGTGTCAATCGAGTTTTCATCGTATTTAAACGGCAACGGGGGAGTGAGCACTGTCTCCATGACGAAATGTTCTGTATTTTAACACTTTTAAAATACGAATTACTACTTCAATTATCTACTGCCGAATATCCTGCCGGCTGCGCCATGTAAACGTTTGTGAGGCACGTACAATGAAACACAGGGCTGAGCAATGACTGATTTAATTCTATAAGATGCGGGTGAAAGCACATAACAAAATATTGACATTAGTTATCAAACTACCTGACAGTTTTATTCCGGTAAAAAGTGTGCAATTAATCAAACAGCAATAGTGTATTGCAGCCTCGGGCGCTGATGTGAAGGATACAGTAATAGCCGTTTGCTTGTAGAAGATTTAAATAAAAGTTTTAATATTGTATATGGCGCGATTATTCCGGTCAACAAATTTTAAATGATGTATGGGAATAACGATTCAATATCCATGGTGCTTTTGGTAAATCAGGCAATTTCAAAGATAAAATTCTGAAAAAAATTCAAAAGGTGTATAGGGACCAGCAGTTTACTAAAATCACTTAGGCCCGGTTTTTTGATTCGTAGTTAAAATAACCATTAGTCAAATTTGACAGATGTCAAATGACAAGTGGTTAAATATCAGAAAAAAATGTTTTACGAACAATGGTTAGCTTGACTTTTAGTACATTTTTTAACTATTTGTTAACATTTTGTTAATATTTAACCATTAGTAACAAAATTTAACAATTTGTTATTTTAACTATGAATCAAAAAACTGGGCCTAAATCGGAAAACTGCTGCTATGGCTATTGCGGCTTTATTCCAGGCACCCATCGATCTTGCATTAAAATGTAAACGTTGGCAATCGCTCCGCCATTTCATGAACGTTGTAATTCGAATTACAAAAAAATGACAGCGTTCTTTATTCGAACCGGGAAAAATTCCAAATTTAAATTTTATTACATTTCCGCAAACATTCGTACGCCATCAAATAAGCATAAAGCAAATGAATTTGTACCTTATTGAGAGGTCAATTCAATTTAATTTCTATTTGATATTGAATCGGTTTTAAAATCGAGTAGGCCATGATTTCGTTTATAACATTTCAATTTGAACCGTATTTACGATAGTGTAAGGTTTTTTTTAACTAAAGCGGTTTTCCCGCTAGAAAAGAGGTCACAAGTTCGTTGTTAAAGAACATTATTACAATGTGTACCGTATTTACGCTCAATGGTTAGTTCTTTTTCGAACGGGAATCTCTTGGCCTGATGTTGTCACCGCTGGGCATCGAACCCGGGAGTATTCCAGTGACTTGGCCCACTTTTAGCTTGGTCTACGGGTCCAAGGGTCAATTCGCTGGATTGTATTTTTTTAAATTTTTTCTTCTAGTAACTGGGCCCACCTTCAATGTTTTATTAATAAATTAAACACCAAAACAACAAAAATTTACTCTAGAATCTTAGATTTGTTGGAAGATAAAATATTTAAAAATTCAATCCAACGACTTGGCCCTTGGACCAAGTTAAAAGTGGGCCAAGTCAGGTGATCTTACCACTAAAAAAGAATTCTTTAAAGATGTAAGAGTAGGTTAATAGAATTCTAACTTACCTCAGGTGATATTGGAAAAGTCTTTGAGAGGTGGATGTAAAAGAAATTTAATTTACTAAGTGCTTGAATCACATCGAGATAAATGAGTGTATCGTTTCTATCTAGACCCAAAATGGCTGAATTTGTCACCTAAGGGATATACTAGCTTTTGCCCGCAACTTTGTTTACATTTTTATACTTCGGACCCCCATTTCATCCCCTTAGGAAAAATCCTTTTTTAGCTGATACCTACGTCATAATAACTATCTGCTTGCTTTTCAGCGCAATCCTTATCAAGTTGCACAGCGTGGTATGGAGAGGGCTATGTTCCATGTTTTTTACGAGATCGAATCAGAAATAAGATAAGATAAGATAATACTTTATTGCCTCGTTTTTACATGCTTTACAAACATGAGGAGGTCTGTAAACAAATTAAAATCGCTAACATAGCCCAGATTAGCTTGGGAAATAAATATCTTGAAAAGAACACCCTGTGAGGTCTCACAGTGCGTGTGGATGGACAGGGTTCCAAAAACCTATTCATAGACAATATTTGAGTGGCGGAGTGACACACACCAACCAATCACAGAGCTCTGTCCAACGCTGTGCGTTCGAATTCGCATAGCGTTGCTGCAAGCAAACATCGTTTGTGAATGCGGGTGTAAGATTTTTCAAGTAAATTAATTATAAAGCCCACTGACTTACTTTTCACAGCCCTGCTTCATAAACTTACATTACAGTCACAGCGTCCCTACAAATAATCGAAGCTGTATCTCCATCTCCCAACTACATTTACGACAAAGTGTTTCATGCAAAACTACACTATCACTACAATCGCACAAATAGCTCAGCCGTTAACTTAAGAGTCTCTTTTCCACTTGTTTTCCCCGAGTTATGTCAACGCCCAACATTTGTATGTAAATGCTTGGTTAGGGATGGGTTTTGTTGTTTTGTCGATATCGATAATTCTTCAATCTAAACTGCTAGCTCATTAATGATAATATTTTTTCTTCACTTTATAAATTGTGGAATTCTTTAAGTAGATTTTTTTTTATTTTACTCAAGCTGATGCAGCTATGATGGCAACTTCGACTCATCGCATGTATAGATATTGGTCTTTTGTGAACTATCTCTGCCTTTTCTTGGATTTTTTTAATACGGACTTATCTTCTAAGCTCGCTTTGCATGCCTTAGAGAGCATCTTTAAAATAATTAAGATATTTTTAGGAAATAATATTTATTTATATTAGGAAGACCAGGGTTTACATAATTAATTATTAATCTTGCATGCAATGCTTACCCAGTTGCAACTCTATCAAAATGTTATAGAAGACTCCTTAGCGATTATACAAGCACTCTACTTTACACTCTAGAGCACACTCAACTCGATAAATATTTGTATGCACTTTAAGTGCAATGAAACTTTTCTGCCACCTGTAATCAATAAATTCATCGACCATATCCATTTTTTGCCACGTTTTATCGACAATCCATCGACTCCACCCATCCTAGTGCGTGACAAACGCATTACACAAGGCGGGGCGTGGATCGAAGCCAAACGTCCCATAAAAGGGGTTCCATAAACCTTGCGTATTCCAGCTTTTTGTCGATGGTGTCACATGGGGACCTGATGGCCCCCGTATTATTGTAGCGAATAAAGTCTGCTCATTTAGAAATGGGCGAACATGACATACAAAAAAATACACAACAGCAACAGCCTATTTTTTGTTGCAAAAGAGCCTCTATTACAACGAGCGAACGTATTGTAGGACGTCCACCCACAAGGTGGACCGACGACATCACAAAGGTAGGTAGCAGGAAGGCGCTGGACGCAGGCCGCTACCAACCGCGCAACATGGAAAGCATCTATGGGGGAGGCCTATGTTCAGCAGTGGACGTCCTATGGCTGAGATGATGATGATGATGACGAGGTAAAGATGACGTTGGTTGACGTGCTGTCGAGTCTTCCAGCGACTTGGCCCACTTTTAGTCCACGGGCCAAGTCATCAGTCCAGTAGTCGGAAAAAAAA